TCAGAGTTTGCATCTCTGGAGGAAAGACTGACCCTGATTAAAATGGGATAGTAGCCTCTATCCAGAGGGCAGTCCCTTTCTGTTCTGTACTCCAGGCAGTATGATTAGAGGGGACAAAGACATGAAGATGCCACATTCTGTGAAAATAAAGAGAATGCCTTATATTTTGGAAAATCTTCACAACCTCCTCCGTGTTTCTCTGAGAAGTCCCAGACTTAGCTGCCTTTCTGTGCAGCAGTTGCTTGCCTTTGGTAGTCTGATGGTTACTGGGACCACAAGGTTTAGCACTTCAAATAAAGGGAAGTCTCTTTCTCAAACTGGTCTCTTATATCACGTGGGGAAGCACTACAGAAGAGCCTTGGGAAAATAGTAATTCATGTGGGAACCACTGGGGGATGCTTCGAGGAGGTGCTATATAGAGGTTTGTTTTTCTTTCCTTGTTCCTCTTCTCCCTTCACATGCAGATCTTGGTTTCTAAAAAAGAACATGAGTTTGTTGTATGTGGTGACAGTCTTTGAAGGCATTAAGATTGTAGCAGGCAGTAACTATCCATATCTAATGATGATAGGACAAAAATGTACCACCTTAATTTGGTCAGAGGAAGAGACCAGTTGGACATTAAGGGAAAGCTTTCTAAGCAAAAGGGTAGTGACACAGTAGACCAGGCTTTTTAGGAAGTTTGCAAAATCTTCTTTTTAAGGACAGAGTGGGTTGATGTAGATATATTAATACTAGCTCACTGCTAAAGGACTTGCTGAGGGCATTGTGCCTATGTTTCAAGATTTCTGCAATCGTTATAGAAGAAAGGAAAAATCAAGGAAGATGTATGTAAGAGAAGATATGCTAATGTGAATTTGATAGTTTGAAAAATTACTTTTTAAGGCACCATTTTGGTAGAATTTGAGCAACAGAGTGGCAGTTGTCACTTCCAAGATACATGTGGATAGAAGCCTGACGTGATTGAAGCCAAAATCAGGAGTAGTTTGATGACTAAACAGATAGTCTTTACTAAGGTAATCTGTAGAAAAGAGATGTTGTTTAGAAAGACCCAACACAGCGGGGCAGCACTCCAAAATTGATGAAGACTGGGAGGCCTCCTATAATCCTCGGGTGAAATCGGTGTGCTCAGCTCGCTCCCTGGAATGTCTGTACACCAATGCGCACAGCATGGGAAATAAGCAGGAGGAGTTGGAAACCTGTGTTAAGTCAGGAGATTATGATCTGGTGGCAATGACAGAGACGTGGTGGGACAGCTCACATGACTGGAATATAGTCATGGAGGGCTATGTCCTCTTCAGGAAAGACAGGCCAGCCAGGAAGGGTGGTGGGGTTGCTCTTTATGTACGGGAGCAACTACAATACACTGAGTCCTGTCCAGGGACAGATGACGAGCGAGTTGAGAGTCTGTGGGTGAGAATTAAGGGGCAGGCTGGCAGGGGCGATACTGTTGTGGGTGTCTGTTACAGGCCACCAGATCAGGGTGAGGAAGTTGACGAGGCCTTCTACAGGCAGCTGAGAGCGGCCTCACAGTCACAGGCCGTGGTCGTCGTGGGGGATTTTAACTTCCCTGATGTTTGCTGGAAGGACCACTCAGCAACCCAGCCACAGTCCAGGAGGTTCTTCCAGTGTATGGATGATAACTTCCTCCTGCAAATGGTGGATGAGCCAACCAGGAGAGGAGCGCTGCTAGATGTCATCCTCACTAACAAGGAGGATCTGGTCGAAGCAGTAAGGTTGAGGGCTGCCTTGGTTGCAGTGACCACGAGATGGTGGAATTCAGGATCTTGTGTGGTAGGACCAGTAGAATAGCAAGTAGAATTGCAACCCTGGACTTTAGCAGGGCAAACTTTGGCCTTTTCAAGCAATTGCTAGGGGTAATGCCATGGGCAAGGCTGTTTGAAGGTAAAGGGGCCCAAGATAGTTGGTTGGCATTCAAGGATTGCTTTTTCCGAGCTCAAGATCGGAGCATCCCGACATGTAGGAAGCCAAGGAAGAGGGTCAGGAGACCTGTGTGGCTAAATAGGGAATTGCTGGGTATGCTCAAGTGGAAGAGGAGAGTTTACAGGTCATGGAAGGAGGGGCTGGCCACCTGGGAGGAGTAAAAGGCTCCTGCTAGAGGATGTAGGAAGGCAGCTAGGAGGACTAAGGCCTCCTTAGAATTAAACCTGGCGAGAAGGGTCAAGGACAGCAAAAAGAGCTTTTTCAAATACATGGCAGATAAAACTAACACCAGAGGCAATGTAGGCCCACTGATGAACGGGATGGGTGCCCTGGTGACAGAAGATACAGAGATGGCAGAGTTACTGAATGCCTTCTTTGTCTCTATCTACTCTGCTGCAGGCAGTCCTGAAGAGCCCTGTACCCCTGAGACCTTAGATGAAGTCAGGTCAACGGAGCAGTTTGCCTTAGTCGATGAGGAATGGGTTAGAGACCAGTTGAGCAGTCTGGACATCCATAAATCCATGGGTCCAGATGGGATGCACCCGCGGGTGCTGAGGGAACTGGCGGAAGTCATTGCTAGACCACTCTCCATCATCTTTACCAAGTCTTGGGAAACGGGAGAGGTGCCTGAGGACTGGAGAAAAGCAAATGTCACCCCAGTCTTCAAAAAGGGCAAGAAGGAGGGCCTGGGTAACTATAGACCGGTCAGCCTCACCTCCATCCCTGGGAAAGTGATGGAACACCTTATCCTTGGTGCCATCTTAAGGCATATCAAGGATAAGAGGGTTATGAGGGGCAGTCAACATGGCTTCACCAAGGGGAAATCATGTTTGACCAATCTCTTAGCCTTTTATGAGGAAATAACACGGTGGATGGATGATGGCAGAGCGGTGGATGTGGTCTACCTTGACTTCAGCAAAGCATTTGACACAGTCTCCCACAGCATCCTCACAGCTAAATTGAGGAAGTGTGGTCTGGATGATCAGGTAGTGAGGTGGACTGTGAACTGGCTGAAGGAGAGAAGCCAGAGAGTTGTAGTCTATGGCGCGGAGTCTAGTTGGAGGCCTGTAACTAGTGGAGTGCCTCAAGGGTCAGTACTGGGACCGGTATTATTTAATATATTCATCAACGATTTAGATGAGGGAATTGAGTGTACTATCAGCAAGTTTGCTGATGACGCTAAGCTGGGAGGAGTGGCTGACACGCCAGAAGGCTGTGCTGCCATCCAGCGAGACCTGGACAGGCTGGAGAGTTGGGCAGGGAATAACTTGATGAAATATAACAAGGGAAAGTGTAGAGTCCTGCATCTGGGCAGGAACAACCCCAAGTTCCAGTATAGGTTGGGGAACGACCTGTTAAAGAGCAGTGTAGGGGAGAGGGACCTGGGGGTCCTAGTGGATGACAGGATGACCATGAGCCAACACTGTGCCCTTGTGGCCAAGAAGGCCAATGGCATCCTGGGGTGTATTAGAAGGGCGGTGGTTAGTAGGTCTAGAGAGGTCCTCCTTCCCCTCTACTCTGCCCTGGTGACACCGCATCTGGAATATTGTGTCCAGTTCTGGGCCCCTCAGTTCAAGAAGGACAGGGACCTGCCGGAGAGAGTCCAGCGCAGGGCAACGAAGATGATTAAGGGTGTGGAGCATCTCCCTTATGAGGAAAGACTGAGGGAGCTGTGTCTCTATAGTTTAGAGAAGAGGAGACTGAGGGGTGACCTTATTAGTGTATATAAATATATAAAGGGGGAGTGTCACGAGGATGGAGCCAGGCTCTACTCAGTGGCAAACAATGATAGGACAAGGGGTAATGGGTACAAACTGGAACACAAGAGGTTCCACTTAAACTTGAGAGGAAACTTCTTCTCAGTGAGGGTGACAGAACACTGGAACAGGCTGCCCAGGGAGGTTGTGGAGTCTCCTTCCCTGGAGACATTCAAAACTCGCCTGGACACATTCCTGTGTAACATTATCTAGGTGTTCCTGCTCCGGCAGGGGGATTGGACTAGATGATCTTTTGAGGTCCCTTCCAATCTCTAGCATACTGTGATAGTGTGATATATGTTAGAGGCAGCTTTTGTGGGGGAATTTAGGAAGGACATTATAGTGAAAAGTTTTGCTATGATGTATGCAGATAGTAAGATCTGAGATGAAGCGAAAGTAATCTGCTGTCAGAAGTAGCTGTACTGATGATTCAGGCCTCATACAAGTTATAGTTTTAAACAAACGTAAGATGAGCAGTTCTGTGGAAGAATTAGTATAAAAAATGCAGTAACTATTGTTTGTAAAAACTTGTAAATTATAAAAACCAGAAATTTTGACCTTCTGTTAAAACATAGTTTGTGTGTGTGAAAGTCCTTGTCCCTTTCTGAATGCACTGGGAGGTTTGGTAAAGTGAGCATCACCTCTGCCTATGAATTTTAGCTTTTAGGAAAACAAATTCCTGGGTAGATTGCTGGATCTTAGTGAGGTGAAGGAGGAGAAGCATTGGCATGAAGTCTATTCATCTTCTCTCAGCTGGTAAAAATCCTCAAAACTGTTTCTAATTCAATAAGGAGAGGATTTTTGTTCATACTGCTGAGTGCCTGTCACTCGCAATTCCTTGCTTCATGCCTAAAACTGTATTCAGATGGCTATTGTTGTATCATTGGCTCCTGAGTTTAATAAAGGTTGTTAACCATCAGCAAGGATTGCAGTGTTCGAGATAAGGATTCCTTCAAAAAATGCTGTTCTCTGCAGAATTAGAAGCTTGTCTACGTCTTTCACCATACTGCAGCACAAGAAGCTGGTGGGTGGGCTGCTTTTAGGAGGTGCTATTACAAAAATACTGTGCATTTTAAATGGAGTAATCAAACTCTAAGATCCTGAAAGGGTGGATGAAATTCAGATAAATTCAACCTTTGAAGCAGGGGTTCCTGACCTCACATAACCTATTAATTATCTGTTTGGGGATTTTTATGTAAATGTTTTTTTCCTAGTCTTGTTCAAAACTGTAACTGTGCCTTTTTAGTAGAAAAGCCTTTACAGAATTATCATGTAACTTGCTGTCTTCTAACATGTTTCTAGATAGGGGACACTCCTTGGATTGCAAAGCATTCCAGGCGCAATGGCAGATCCTATCCGCTGGGCCCGATACCGTTGGCAACGACTGATATCTACAGAGGGCAGAGAAGGTAGCAGACCCAGCAATTCAAGTAACAAGTGCCATCAATCATCGAAAGCCATTGGCAAACATAGGATAGTAATACCCTGTTTGGGACATTTTAAGGAAGAGTATGAAAAAGTATCAAAACTGTACATGAGCAACAAAATACGGACTACCAAGTATACGTTATTGAATTTTTTACCACGGAATTTGTTTGAACAATTTCACAGGTAATGAACTCCTTTTTCATTGTGGTCATTCTTCTGAAGTGGAATCCTTTTATTTAAATGTGTTGCTTTATAGACAGGTATTAAAAATTATTCTCCCTCCTGATCTGCCTGCCACTCCTGAAGAGATCTGTGTTATTTGGCCAAGTCTCTTGAGTATAAGTGTTGGGCTAATCCTTTTCTCCGTAGCTTATGTAATGTCTGCTAATTTTGTCCTTCAGGTTATTGAAGTGTTCCTTACTCTTGGAGCACTGCCACTCAGAAATCTGCAGTAAAATTTCCAGCTCATTTCCTGCAAATGTATTTCTCGCCTTCCACATGTCTTTCTCTGTTGCCAGTTTTTTTCACCCTCCTTCTGCTTGGAGGACTGCTGATCTGTAAAGTCATACAGGGAGGTTGTAGGATGGCTTCCTTTTAAAAACTTGTTATCTCCCCCTGGAGATGATAAAGTTAAAAGACCTGAAAATTTGAGAGAGTGCAAGTTCACCAGAGTATCGCTAGAAGACACATACCTGGAGCACAGGTTTGAAAATACGTAAAAATTCTTGTTTTCTGCATCTTTTGATCATGCATATTAAGCAACTGTGCAGCTAAGTATTGACCAGAGAGTTAAAACGAAGTTCTGGATACTTAGTTCTTAAATTACACTTGGGCTGAAGAAAAGATAAAGCCCTGCTAACTTAAGTGTCTGTATAGCATGGAGTTGGAAAATAAGGACAACTGTCTGCTAGCACAGCTAACTCCTGTATTTTCTTCTTGTTTCAGAGTTGCCAATTTGTATTTCCTATTTCTAGTTGTCCTAAATTGGGTTCCTCTGGTGGAAGCCTTCCAAAAAGAAATTACAATGCTACCACTGGTAGCGGTTCTGACAATTATTGCAGTGAAAGATGGTATGGAAGATTACTCCAAGTACAAAATGGATAAACAGATAAACAACTTACTAACCAAAGTATATAGCAGGTAAGAGGCAACAGTCTTTCTGGTTCATTGCTATTATTTGATTATAAGTATATGTGGAAAAGTTGTTGATAAATCTTTCATTTTAATTTCTGGATATTCATAGAGTCATAAAATAATTTTAGTAGGAAAGGGTCTCTGAAGGTCATCTAGTCCAACCCCCTGCTCAGAGTAGGTCTAATTAGATCAGGTTGCTCAGGGGCTAGTCTAGATGAGTCTTTATCACCAGTTTTGCCAAATGGTTATCAAATTAGTATAAAATTTGCTGAAAAAAATTCTTTGGCTGAGGCAGGTGTTCATGCATGAGTTCATACTCTATTAACCGTGGTAGTTTGACTAGTTAAGCATTGTGTATAGCATTTGTTTTGAAAGGTGTATTTTTAATTCCTCTGTAATCACTGTAAGCATCATGGAAATAAAAAGACAGGAACGCAAATTGATCATATTTGAAATTAACTGGCAAAATCTTATTTTAGTGCATATCAGTGCTGCCCACATCATTTTCTTTTATATCTTTCATAAGAGGATATTCTGAGACTCGTTCAAAGCCTGTAAAATACAAAAATGAAGGAAGTATAGTGGACCCTTTTTCTTTCTCACATGCTCTGTGGTCATGTAGGGAAACAGCTGTTTTGAAAAACATCACTTATCTTGTGTTCTTGTAGTATCACTTGTAGGAGAGGATTGATTAGTAGTTAGACACTAACAAGTTCAGTAAGGGCCAAGCAATAGCAGACAGTAGTTGATGTAGTGCCAAACCACATTTAAAGCTTCCTCTTTTCATTAAAGACACACCTTTTCCTAGTGAAAGCACTACACTGAAAAGAAACTTTTCTAAAATCTTAATGTGCTGGCTGGTTATGCCAAACCCTAAACCCTGTAGTATAGACATGGCCTTAAATGGCCCATGCAGCAGGTTTGCAATCTGGTACTACATAATCACCGTTAAATGTATTGTGGTATTACTCAGAAGATGGAATTTCCATCTTTCTGGCATTTGCCATACTCTACTAGTATTTTAAGTGCTGGCTTATAACCATGGAAAAAGTCTGGAATATCATTGTATATCATCAAAGGAAGAACAAACAGCTTTTTGTTCTGCAGCCATGAATAAATATTTTCCCAGAATTGTTCTGTTCAATCTTTTGAAACAAGTAATTGGACTGTTAGGGAAGATAAACATTTTCTTTCTTTTTCATGTCTGCAGAGAAGACTTAAGGGAGAAACTGGATTATTTCTGCTATAAATAGCAGTGTACCCTGAAAGAATTCATTGCCAGAATGCTGAAGCATTCAGTATCCATATTCCTGAAACCTTTGTGTTACTTGCAATCACACAACAATGTCAATGAGCAGAATTAACTTCTGATCTTCTCTTCCGGCTGGATTCGTTCCCCATTACCAAAAATGTGTAATAATCAGTGGCCATATTAGTCATCTGTAAAAATTCCTCCTTATGCCTATAAGTATTTGGGTTTTGTAACTTTTTTAAAAAATTCTTTCTTTATCATGATTTATTTTATATAGTATAATCTGGTTTTAAAAATAAGTTTGGAGGCATGATTCAGGATGATTAAATCTTACTGGTATAAAAATGATCAGTCATCTTGGACTTCCATTAATCTCACATTAGGAGTCAGAATTTCTTAACTTGTTTAACAAGAATCTGTTAGAAATTGTAATGACTCTTCCAGTGCATGTATTAAATCAAGCATAGTCATAAAAATTGTAAACATGATGAACTAGCTAATGTTGAATACAATTTCCAGTTTTTTTTTAATGTGCATTTGTTCATCTGGAGAGGTTGTATGCATTGTACATGCTGTCTGTGTAATTTTACTTATACATTAGATACTGATAACCTACATGGCTACTGAGAAGTGCCTAATATAATAGCTTTTCTTGCTATCTCAAAATTTAACTAAGCAGTAGTTGTCATGCTTGAAAGCTGGAAGGCTTCCTGTTGGTATCTGAAGATAATATGCATTATTATTAGACCAGTCATCCTGAACTTGAACTCTTGTGAGGCTTGCTTTTGTACAAAGTAGTGTTCATAATAGAAACTTGTTGCGCTGTGGTCTCTTATCCCTGTCAAAATGTGCCAGTTTCAGTGCCTTGATAAATCTATCTAAGCAACTTGATGCTAGTTTCTGTGCGCTGATTTTTCCAGGAAAGCTTATTTCTGTTTTGAAAATGTGATAAAGTAAGGGTTGCTTAAAATTTTTGGTTTTTTTTTCCTGCTAATCTCTCTCTTGTGGAGTAATAGAACATATCAATAAACAATAAGATGTGCTAATGTGCAATTTAATTTAGGTTTTAATTGTTGTTAGGATGTTAAAGTTATCAGTCCTTGTACATTTTGAGCAAGTTAGAGTAGTTGGATCTTATTAAAATAGCCATGAGTCACAAAGTATGAAGGCACTTCTGTTTGAGCATCTGTTAAAATCAGTAGTTTGTCATTTCAGTGGAACTGTGGTATGGTGATTATGATGGAAAAATCCATTTATTCCTCCACTGACCTACTACTAAAGACAGTTAATTTTTTTGCCTGACTTTGTGCTGAACTGAATAAAGAATATGTGCATAATCCATCTGCTGCATCAGCAGTAGAGCAGATAACTTTGCTGTCTGATACATTTTTGTTTTCTTATTCCCTCTCCTGCAGACCTCTCAAATATATTTCTGTTTCATTTCAAGCCTTGCATGTAGGTGCAGGTGCATCAATTAACAAGAACTATCATATGCTTTCAGTACTACATTTATTAAATAGGTAGTGATTTAAAAGAGAAGTATTTGCTATCTCCTGAGGTCTTATCTCAACACTGGCAGGACAGACAAATAGGTTTTCATAATTTTTCAATAACTAGTGAATGTGCATCTTAAGGAGAAAACAGATGTGCCTTGTATCACTTTCATTTTATGTCAGCTTTTGTTGCTTCCTGGTTTTGATTTGTTTGCACTTAACTGTTAAATAACATAACCACTTCCACCTTATCTTTACTGGAGAAACTGTCATCAGTACACTGATTAATTGTGCAGGCTTTGTGCCTTCTCTTTGTAGGCAAGCATTTCCAAAAGGGTACTGTCAGATAATGCAGGTCTGAAAGATATGGCTGCAAAGCTTCATACAGGAAATATTTTTTTTTTTTTTTTTTTTTGTCATTAGAAGTATCTGTTTCAGTATTTATCAGAAGCACTTTGATTAAAGCTAGTAGATATGTGTCAGTCAATACACAACAGCCATGTCGCAAAGCATCTTAGCTTATGTCTACACTGTAGAAGTTAGGTGCACTTCCCAGCTACCCAGTGGGAGTGTGCTTCTTAGACAGCTTAGAATGAGGTCCAGGGGAGGAAACAACATGCGAAACGGCCCTTGCACAGCCCAGACTGTATCCCAGTCTGAGTAACTGCGACATAAGGATTGTGGAGAATACATGCTCCTCTCTTTAAACGTAGCTCTAGGGTTAGACTGTGCAAGGCAGAAAAGCTCGCAGTCACTGTGGACAGTAATAGCTTGTACAAACATGTACTGCATTCAGACCTGAGTAACGTTTGTAACAGCAATTGTAGGTGTGTTTCATCAGCCATGTTGCAGTCGCCTACTACTGTATGCCTCCAGCTAGCTCATCGAACATTCCTTGTTGCTTGTTGCCTTGCATCCTATTCACCACTCTAAACCTGACTGTGTTTGCCATAAACTGGTGTGATTATATAAAAGGAAGATTCTTCATCTCAGCTGAGGACAGTACAGCAGCTATAAATGGAAAATTGAAAACAGTTCAAATTTATGTATGTCATGCCTGGATATTTCTAATTAATAAAAAATTTCAACTCACTTGATAGGCCTGAGCTTTCACTGACTTCTTGAGTATTATAGAGTCTTTGTACCTTACATTCAGAATTAATGGTAAAGATATTTTAAAAGCATATAAATACAAGTATTTATATTCAGAGCATCAGTGAAGTGATTGCTGGATATTCTTGGCTTACTGGTAGACATTCATCATCTTGGGAGACAGACATTTTTGAAAGGCATTATCAGAAGTGAAAAAGATTTGCTGTTTTTAGTTGCATAATTGCAAGAAAAAGTGGTGATCCAGAGAGAAGTCCTGAAAACTGTTTACTCTCTTGGAATAATGAAAACACAGGAAACAAGTGGGCTGAATTTTAAATAGACCTAGAATAATTCTGGGAGGGCATCTGGAGGGTAATTTCCAGAAAAACAGGGCTTGGATCACAGAGCTGATTCTTTGTAATTTCTGTTCATGTTGAGCTAGTAGACTACCTCAACAGGGGATTTTTTCAATGACTTTGAAGCATAAACTGTTAGACTAATTTTCCAGTTACAGTGCATTTGAGCTTTCACTTTATGCATTTGTAAAATAAATTGCTGTTTCTGTATGTATTTCAGGAAAGAGAAGAAATACATAGATGAGTGCTGGAAGAATGTCAATGTTGGGGACTTCATCCGGCTTTCACGTAATGAAATCATTCCTGCTGACATGGTGCTGTTATATTCTAGTGACCTGGATGGGATCTGCTACATTGAAACAGCAAGCCTTGATGGAGAAACCAATCTAAAGCAGAGGCAGGTGGTGAGAGGATATTCAGAGCAGGTGATTAGTTGTGCATTTGTAGTGGTGTAATAAAGCTGACATAACAGATAGTCAACCCAAAAAAAACCCAAACCGCACACCTCTCTAGATTGCCGAATTCTTGATAGCTCAGCAACTCCCATCTGAAAACAAAATAACTAAGTAAAGCAGTTCTAATTTGTTGCTTGAGTTATTCTGGGGGAAATCTTTGTGTTCACTTAACCCAGAGTAAGAAAGATTTCAAGTAATGCTAGCCAGTAAAAATAACTATTCAGGTAGAGTCAACAAATAATTTATGGGTGCATGTCACGTCATGGGTGGAATTTCTCAGAAGGATGTTCTGTGCTATATAAAGACCTAGAGAGAGAAGCACATGCTATCTTCTCTTTTTCACTGTTTTTTCATGTTCCAAACATATTTTTACCTCCATAAAACACTTAGTATTATACCTAGCAGATAAAATGCTGAAGGCTAGCAGAAAGAAGGTGATATAAAATGAACAAAGAATCCCGGCATTAGTGCAACCCTCAGCACACCTGGTGCTGAGTCCTGCTGCTGAAACATCATGCAAAACAACAGCAGGGAGCCTTTGTGCTGTTCATAATAACATACTGTTTAGTCCTCTGGAGATAAAATTACCTGAACTGCCTCTGAATTGTCAGCAGTGGCGAGGAAGTGAGAAGTACTACCTTGTGAGCATTAAGACTCCCCTGCTACTTAGCAACTATGGTAATGCCAAAGGCATGATGTGATATTCATAAGCAAAGCTCTTTCTTATCCCCTTACAGTGACATCACAGTATCACAGTATGCTAGAGATTGGAAGGGACCTCAAAAGATCATCTAGTCCAATCCCCCTGCCGGAGCAGGAACACCTAGATAATGTTACACAGGAATGTGTCCAGGAGGGTTTTGAATGTCTCCAGGGAAGGAGACTCCACAACCTCCCTGGGCAGCCTGTTCCAGTGTTCTGTCACCCTCACTGAGAAGAAGTTTCTTCTCAAGTTTAAGTGGAACCTCTTGTGTTCCAGTTTGTACCCATTACCCCTTGTCCTATCATTGTTTGCCACTGAGTAGAGCCTGGCTCCATCCTCGTGACACTCCCCCTTTATATATTTATATACACTAATAAGGTCACCCCTCAGTCTCCTCTTCTCTAAACTATAGAGACACAGCTCCCTCAGTCTTTCCTCATAAGGGAGATGCTCCACTCCCTTAATCATCTTCGTTGCCCTGCGCTGGACTCTCTCCGGCAGGTCCCTGTCCTTCTTGAACTGAGAGGCCCAGAACTGGACACAATATTCCAGATGGGGTCTCACCAGGGCAGAGTAGAGGGGAAGGAGGACCTCTCTCGACCTACTAACCACCGCCCTTCTAATACACCCCAGGATGCCATTGGCCTTCTTGGCCACAAGGGCACAGTGTTGGCTCATGGTCATCCTGTCATCCACTAGGACCCCCAGGTCCCTCTCCCCTACACTGCTCTCTAACAGGTTGTTCCCCAACCTATACTGGAACCTGGGGTTGTTCCTGCCCAGATGCAGGACTCTACACTTTCCCTTGTTATATTTCATCAAGTTATTCCCTGCCCAACTCTCCAGCCTGTCCAGGTCTCGCTGGATGGCAGCACAGCCTTCTGGCGTGTCAGCCACTCCTCCCAGCTTAGTGTCATCAGCAAACTTGCTGATAGTACACTCAATTCCCTCATCTAAATCGTTGATGAATATATTAAATAATACCGGTCCCAGTACTGACCCTTGAGGCACTCCACTAGTTACAGGCCTCCAACTAGACTCAGCCCCATAGACTACAACTCTCTGGCTTCTCTCCTTCAGCCAGTTCACAGTCCACCTCACTACCTGATCATCCAGACCACACTTCCTCAATTTAGCTGTGAGGATGCTGTGGGAGACTGTGTCAAATGCTTTGCTGAAGTCAAGGTAGACCACATCCACCGCTCTGCCATCATCCATCCACCGTGTTATTTCCTCATAAAAGGCTAAGAGATTGGTCAAACATGATTTCCCCTTGGTGAAGCCATGTTGACTGCCCCTCATAACCCTCTTATCCTTGATATGCCTTAAGATGGCACCAAGGATAAGGTGTTCCATCACTTTCCCAGGGATGGAGGTGAGGCTGACCGGTCTGTAGTTACCCAGGCCCTCCTTCTTGCCCTTTTTGAAGACTGGAGTGACATTTGCTTTCCTCCAGTCCTCAGGCACCTCTCCCGTTTCCCAAGACTTGGTAAAGATGATGGAGAGTGGTCTAGCAATGACTTCCGCCAGTTCCCTCAGCACCTGCGGGTGCATCCCATCTGGACCCATGGATTTATGGATGTCCAGATTGCTCAACTGGTCTCTAACCCATTCCTCATCGACTAAGGCAAACCGCTCCATTGACCTGACTTCATCTAAGGTCTCAGGGGTACAGGGCTCTTCAGGACTGCCTGCAGCAGAGTAGACAGAGACAAAGAAGGCATTCAGTAACTCTGCCATCTCTGTATCTTCTGTCACCAGGGCACCCATCCCGTTCATCAGTGGGCCTACATTGCCTCTGGTGTTAGTTTTATCTGCCATGTATTTGAAAAAGCTCTTTTTGCTGTCCTTGACCCTTCTCGCCAGGTTTAATTCTAAGGAGGCCTTAGTCCTCCTAGCTGCCTTCCTACATCCTCTAGCAGGAGCCTTATATTCCTCCCAGGTGGCCAGCCCCTCCTTCCATGACCTGTAAACTCTCCTCTTCCACTTGAGCATACCCAGCAATTCCCTATTTAGCCACACAGGTCTCCTGGCCCTCTTCCTTGGCTTCCTACATGTCGGGATGCTCCGATCTTGAGCTTGGAAAAAGCAATCCTTGAATGCCAACCAACTATCTTGGGCCCCTTTACCTTCAAACAGCCTTGCCCATGGCATTACCCCTAGCAATTGCTTGAAAAGGCCAAAGTTTGCCCTGCTAAAGTCCAGGGTTGCAATTCTACTTGCTATTCTACTGGTCCTACCACACAAGATCCTGAATTCCACCATCTCGTGGTCGCTGCAACCAAGGCAGCCCTCAACCCTTACTGCTTCGACCAGATCCTCCTTGTTAGTGAGGATGACATCCAGCAGCGCTCCTCTCCTGGTTGGCTCATCCACCATTTGCAGGAGGAAGTTATCATCCATACACTGGAGGAACCTCCTGGACTGTGGCTGGGTTGCTGAGTGGTCCTTCCAGCAAACATCAGGGAAGTTAAAATCCCCCACGACGACCACGGCCTGTGACTGTGAGGCCGCTCTCAGCTGCCTGTAGAAGGCCTCGTCAACTTCCTCACCCTGATCTGGTGGCCTGTAACAGACACCCACAACAGTATCGCCCCTGCCAGCCTGCCCCTTAATTCTCACCCACAGACTCTCAACTCGCTCGTCATCTGTCCCTGGACAGGACTCAGTGCATTGTAGTTGCTCCCGTACATAAAGAGCAACCCCACCACCCTTCCTGGCTGGCCTGTCTTTCCTGAAGAGGACATAGCCCTCCATGACTATATTCCAGTCATGTGAGCTGTCCCACCACGTCTCTGTCATTGCCACCAGATCATAATCTCCTGACTTAACACAGGTTTCCAACTCCTCCTGCTTATTTCCCATGCTGTGCGCATTGGTGTACAGACATTCCAGGGAGCGAGCTGAGCACACCGATTTCACCCGAGGATTATAGGAGGCCTCCCAGTCTTCATTAATTCTGGAGCGCTGCCCCACTGGGGCAAGCCCAGCTACAACCCCATCCCCCTTCGAATCTAGTTTAAAGCTTTCCAAATGAGCCCTGCTAATTCGTGCCCCAGCATCCTTTTGCCTCTGTGAGACAAACCTTTCCCACTTGTCATTGTCCAGACTGGTGCCCTATAAAACCAGCTCTTATCAAAGAATCCAAAGCCCTGCCTGCAGCACCAGTCTCGAAGCCAATCGTTTATGGACTGAATCTTCCCATTCCGTCCCACATCATCAGTGGAAGATGGAAGGAGTGAGGAGAAGATCACTTGAGCCCCAGACTCTTTCACCATCCTCCCCAAGGCCCTGTAGTCTTTCTTCATCCCCCTCAGACTGTGGGAAGCAGCTTCCCCCCCACCTATCTGGAAGACCAGCAGCGGGCAGTAGTCTGTCGGGTACACCAGGTTGGGGAGCGCCCTGGTGATATCCCTGATCCGGGCTCCAGGCAGACTACACACTTCCCTATGATGAGGGTCAACTCTGCATATCGGGCCCTCTGTTCCTCTCAGAAGGGAATCCCCTACTACAATGACCCTTCTTTCTTTCTTATCAGAGGCAGTCTTGAGGTGCGAAGTCGACCGCCTTTTCCTGTGTGGCCTTGTGGGCTGGCCTTGCCCCACATTCTCACCTACCTCTCCTTCAAGATCCAGGGCCTCAAACCTATTACGGAGGGACACCTGGGGAAGCAGGGCAGGAAGGGGGGAGGGTTTCCCACGATGCCGAACTGGAACTCGCTTCCAACCCTCGTCGTCTTTTTGGTCCCCTACCTCTGCGAACTTCTACAGGGCAGGGGGTGTCTCCGGCCATCCCCCTCTGTGTGAGAAGGCAGGGGGTCCTTCCCCTTTTGGGGGGTATCTCCCTGGAACCGTTCCGACTGGCCCGCCAGGGAGCTACTCCACCAGTCGATCTCCCTTTCACACTCCTTGATGGTCCTCAGTGTCTCAGCCTCCTCCTTAAGTCTTGCCACCAGGCTAAGCAGATCTTCTACCTGCTCACACCTCACGCAGGTGGAATGCTGTCCTCCCCCCCCCAGCAGCAGCAGGCTCTGGCACTCCCTGCATCCAGAGACCTGAACAGCCACAGTCTGGGACAGGGTCTCTGTCTGAGTTGCTGCAGTTTTCTTACTGCAAGCTCTCTTTCTGGAGGTGACCATATTGGTCTGCAGTCGGACACCAGCAACAGGGTCAGCAACACGACCTGCTTGTTCCTCCCTGTGCCTGGTGGGCAGCGACGTGTCATTTTTTTCTTTCTTGATTTAATAACAGTAAGGCAGAAAAGACTTCTTGATTTTTCTGTATATACATATCATTATGTAAGGCAAAATTCAAATGGTTCTGCAGGCTTACATCATTGTGAGATGGTCCTGATATCACGCCAGCTCCTGCTCTGAGGTATGATTTCAGTCTCACTCAAGAAAGAGATTGTTTTCTCTGTTTCCAGAAAAAGGTGCATCAAAATGCTAGGAAGAGTCATACTGTCCAAAAAAAGTGATAATTCCTTTACCGTTCAAGACTGTTAATTTTTGTCCTCAAATAAAAACAAACAAAAAAAGTCACTGTAGAGTCTTCTTGTCAGGACTGCATGGTTTCTGAATGTAGAACCATGGTCAGCTTCACAGACCTCTAGTGTCCTGCCAACTGAGTTTCAGCTAGAGGCTATGTCCTTATAAACTGAGGCTGAGTAAGGCTGTCAGTGCTATGTAAGAGGCATTACCTCAGATAGCATCCTGGTCATGGTATCAGGAACAATGGCAATGGCTGTTTGGAAGAATTTCAGGTTGCAGAGAAAACAGTGTTTCTTCTTTTTCCTTATAATGAAAAAAACCCTATGGGAAATGTCTGCATTTCAGATGTTCTTGCATTTTTATGTTTATTTTTTATTTTTCCTCATTCTTCCACCCATTCTCTCCTCTCCAGTGTTCTCAAAATATCAGCAATTCAACTGATGCTTTCCAGGGTTAGATATTTAGTAGTAAGTCCTTCCATGCTGTGTAAGTCTCATTTATGGTGAGTAGCAAGCGGAGCATCCACAACACCAGCAATTTACAGTTTCAAAGCTAAATTGTTAAATAGTGAAATTTATATGAATTTATAATGTTTTTTAAGTTCCATCACATTTTGTTTGAGTTCTCTGTTTGGGTTTCTGGCTTTAGGTCTCTGAAATTGATCCAGAAAAATTCTCCAGTAGAATAGAGTGTGAAAGTCCTAACAATGACCTTGGTCGCTTCCGAGGCTTTGTGTAAGTAGACTTGTGGCTCTTGAACTGTTGTCATTTGCTTTGGTGCTTTTACTAATTTTCAGAGAGCTTATAATGTTTGCTTAAAATATTAGTGACAATATGCATAGAAGTCAGCTTACACCACTACATTTCCGAGTATGGCCCAACAGACAGAGCTCCAGGGCTTTCTGAGCAGTAGATTGTGAACTGGGCAAGACCACTAGTGCTTTTTATTTTGAATTGAATACTTTCAACATCTTAGTTCAGGCTATTTTGGAATTGTATAGTCCATATTTGAAATAGCTGTTTCAAGTCTACTCTTAATAACATGTGTTACATACAGTATTTGATCTGGACCATGGCCTGGCTGCATTGCTCAGAAATGGAAATTGGAAGGAATGGCTTCCTCTCAATCTGATTTGTTTTGTGTAACCATCAGTGACTTGATCAAGGTCCTTTTGACCCGTGTACCTATATGTGTCTTTTCTTCCTCTAAGTTTATGATTTTTGGTAGACAGTAGGAATACAAAATACTGTTTCATGGGGTGACTTATTTTCAGGTTTTAAGAGCTGTCAATATCCTTCCATGTGGGCATTGATAAATTAGAAAAATTAAAAGAAAAAAAATACATATAAGTCTTACATATAAATCTTAGTCTCTGAGGAAACACTCTGACAAAGAGTGGGCCTACCTTTACTGAAAGTATGCCACAGGAGTAATGACACTCACAGTATATTTAAAATGGGATTTTATATGTTGTTCAATTTTTTTTTCTGATATTGACAGTACAAGTAGAAGTCTTAGGTTTTCAGACTTCTAGTGTTTGTTTTGAGCTCTTTTCAATAGTATTGCCTACTTATGCTTGTGAACACAAGAAAATTCTAATACAGTGCCTGCATGCCTGGATTTTCAAAGGTGATCTACATGCATGTTATCCCATTCTTTTGAAAAGTCCAATTGGAAATGTCAGAATGGCTGTCAGAGAATAGAAGCTTCTCTGGGAAATCTGCTCCCTAATGGCTTTGCAAAGCTTGACTGGTAATTGATAGAGCTGAAATAATGTACTTTTTTTTTTCTTCAGTGAGCATTCAAACAAGGATCGAGTGGGCCTCAGCAAGGAAAACTTACTGCTTCGAGGATGCACAGTAAGAAACACAGAAGCTGTTGTAGGCATAGTGGTATATGCAGGTTAGTGAACCACACTGGCTTTCACAGGCTGCTTTGCAGAAAAGATAGAATTACGTGCTCTCCATGAATAATCAGATGTATCAGTTCTTTACATTGTTAAAATAGAAACAAACTTAATCCAGATATGCATTCTTAACATTTCTAGCTACAGCTGCCTTTGGCTGGACTCAGGCTTTAACACTCTCAGTTCCGATTTGTGCTCTCATTTCTCAGACGTTTAGAAATGCAAAGAACTTGTGGTTCTGATAGCTGCTATTAGAAAATTTCAACCTGTTTTGTGGTTACAGGTCATGAAACCAAAGCCATGCTGAATAACAGTGGGCCTCATTATAAGCGCAGTAAATTGGAAAGAAAAGTGAACACTGATATCCTTTGGTGTGTTCTGCTTCTAATTTTGATGTGTTTAACTGGTGCAATAGGTAAGTAAGAATCAGCAAACTCCTGTTTTCCTCTCACAGCCTTTAGCGCTTGGTATTTATTTTGGGGCTGATTCATTTTAACCACACATTTTAGAAGCTGCCTTTATCCAAGCATTATTCTCTAGCAGCTGGGGATGCTGCCAGGTTTTAGTTCATGTTGTCATGTTTAATCTGGAGTGTGGTGTGAATTTAGGAGTCTGGAACCTGTTCCTCCAATTGATGTCTTTTTTCCTCTGGTTGATTTGTCTTTTCTGTCACTAATAGCTCAGCAAAACTCCTACTTGCTTTTAGGATTTTTCAGGTAACATGAGACGTATGTACAGCATTGCGGAGAGAGGCCTAGTGTGACTTGAGTTGTAAGGACTTGGTATTCTATGGATCGATTAAATAGCGAGCTTGAGTAAATCTAAACAGACTAACTTTTATGACAAATCAAAAAGGTGTTTAAGCATGTCTAAAAAAACTTCTTCAGACTACACTTAATGATGATGTGTTCACATGTTAACTAAAACCTGGACAGGCAAGGATAATACAATTAATTGTCAGAGGTTTTTCTGCAGAAAAAAAAACAGTGTTTATCAAGTGTAGTTAGTATTCCTTTAGTTCTGAGATATGCTGTATAGATGTCCTGTTGATAGAAATGCATGTAAAGTATTTATTCAGATGTGCATTGATACTTACTTAATTTTAATGGGGTTCCTGCTGAGGAAAAAATCAGGAGATAAAATGGTACTTTAAAAGCGAAGTAAGAGCTGCAGAATATAACAGCTAACACTATGACCCTGAATTGTTATACAGTTTACATACAACTGACTCACTTTATCTTGTTCCTATTTTCAAGGCCATGGAATTTGGTTAAGTAGGTATTCGGAAATACCTTTTTTTACCATCCCTGAGCCAGATGGGAAATTGATTCCTCCAACATTAGCAGCATTCAATGTGTTCTGGACGATGATCATCTTATTACAGGTAACTTTGGTCTGCTTGTTGGTCATATTCTGATCTCATTCATATCCTTGATGTAACTCTTCAGCTTCAGCAGAGCTACTTCATGTTTGTAACTCACCAAAGAGTTTGGTTTTGTTTAATCCCCATGTTTTGTTTTGGTAGGTCTTGATCCCAATTTCTCTCTATGTTTCAATTGAAATTGTCAAATTGGGACAAATTTATTTAATACAGAATGACATTGATTTTTACCATGAGAAAACAGACTCAACAATTCAGTGTCGAGCACTGAATATTGCTGAAGACCTTGGCCAGATTCAGTATATCTTCTCTGACAAGACTGGAACACTCACTGAAAATAAGATGGTTTTTCGGAGATGCAGCATTGCAGGACAGGAGTATTGCCATGAGGAAAATGGTAAGACATTAAGCCTGTGTTCACAATGAGTCATTTCTCTCTTCTGAGAAGCTGAAAGTGTTGATAGGGTCCAGTGGACTTTATGAGGTTTACATCGCACTACACACTCACAGAAAATAAGAATTTAGACTGATCCTACTAATAGCCATGCAGCTTTTCCCATTATTTAGATCCCTTCATATATAGTGTGTTACAAGACTTGAAGGCTTGATGTAAGGTGTTGCTTTACAGCCAATGTGTTTGATACCACAAACAACATTCTTTACTCACTGTAGAAGTCATGCCTACTGTGTTTTGCTTCTCTCCTTGCATTATTCAGAACCCAGAACATTGGAAAATACCTATCTAGTCTTTCCTTCCAAATTTTTTTTTTTTGTTAACTACAATGCCAATGCTTACCTAACATTTTAAGGTTCAGATATCTGTTGGCTGCGACAGATACACTACCTTTATGTAGTGTATCTTAAGGCTCCAATTTAACATGCTGTTGCCCTTTAGGATAGAGTAACGCAAATAAAATAAGTGAAAAGTTAGAGCTTTAACAGTAATGTTTAAGTACAAGTCAAGCAAGTAAGTGTACGTGTTAAATACCTCCATCAAAAATAATGACTGTTGTATTCTTACTTACATCTCAAACAGCTGTTTATTGATAGCCAAAAAGCCAACAAGCAGTGTTTCGGGATAGTTGCTTCCTCATTGTCTAATAGTGTAGCATCTTTCAATATACATTTCGTGAGAGCCCACTTAAACCTTTCTACTAGCCCAGAGAAGATCCAAAAAGGCAAAAGAGAAAATTGAGCAGAGTGACATGAAGTCTTTGATTGCATTATCTATTTTATTAATTAGATAGAACCACAAAGTTTTTATTTCTCTTACTTTATATAAGTATTGTGGCTACGGACATTTACTATTTTGCTGGTGGGCAATGTAAATATTCCATAGGAGATCAAAGGTGAGGTGCTGACAGGCAGCCGCACGCAGCACAGCTGTGTATGAAGCTCCCCCTTGGGGTTTTGGTGGTTTTGCTGCTAGGTAGAGCTCCCCACAGCTGCGAGCAAAAGGCACACCCTGCTGGTCACAGCATGAATCAGTTCAGCCCTTCTGTTGTGTCGCAGGAGCAAGCGGTTCCAGACCATTTTGCAGTAATTTCTGCACATACTTTGAAAATCTTAAGGTCTGCATGTCCAGGTGGTTCTTTGGCTTTGCATAGTTGTACTGGGAAGGATGACAACAGCACAGTGAGAAGAAGTATTTTCGAGTTTTGAACTTAGTGAATGAACAACTTAAATAAAAAGTAGAATATATTTTCAGAGCCCTGTCTTTTACCTGGAGGGTAAGCATGTGCTTTTTTCAAACACAGAAATTATGTGAGCCCTGGAAATCAGTTTGAAAAATGTTGGAGGTCCTGTGTTTCAGTTCTGTTTAACATTTGTTCAGTTGCATAAAGCTGCTATTTGCAAGGCTCCTGCTACGTATGGTAAGAGTTGCATTGCAAGACAGTACAGTCTTTTGCATACAAGCCACTTAATCTATATATATATTTCTGTATTGATATCTGTATTGCCCAAAGTAAAGCAGTGTGCAGCGGGGAAGTACACAACAGCAATGACTGTGATTCAGTATAATCCTCCATATAGGTCCCCCCGGGCAGTTCTGTGTAATGTAACATGTACCTCTTGGACCATGGCAGCAGAGCAGTGTGCTGTTATTAAGAGGTCCACAAATGTTACTTCAGAGAGAGCATGCAGGCTTCTCAACAGCCTGGAAAGAAAGCAGAATGGGCATGTGTTGTCCAAACCTGCCTCTACAAACACGTACTAAGTCACTGTTGCTGCTTTCTTGTAAAAGATATCAATAGCACATGTGGGATATTGTATTTGGTAGTTGTCGAGAGCCAGTTTTTTACATTCCCACCTATCTTTTTAATAAATGGGTTATTAAATCCATGTTGACATGTCCCCTGAAGGACATGGCCTGCCAAGGAAGCTCTGGTCTCCCTGCTTTCCTGGACTCATCAGAATAGCAGTGTTGTTGTTTAAGCCGAACCCAGAACAAGCAGGAAGAGGGGCAAGAGACTTTCATTTATGTTCTAGAAACAGAATAAAGCAGGAAATAAAGAGAACTTAACAGGCTAGAAAACCTGATAGCTCATTTCCTGAACATAGCTGAGCTTGTGGGCTTTGGCTGGGAGGCAAAGGACTCATGAGCGATATAATAAACCTATTTCCATCTCATTTTGAGCACCAGAGCTGGAGACACAACTGTGAATAGGTTTCCTATTCATATAAAAGAGAATAATATCCCACTGATCACTTCTTTCATGTAAAGTAGCTGCCACTTTAAATAAGAAAAAAATAGGGAATTAGTGTTGTTGCAGATGTCTGTATGTTAATACTGTTTTTTTTCCTAAAATGCCATTGTTTATAATCACACTTTAATGAAATATATAGGCAATGCACACCTCTCAGAACAGTTCTTCCGTGCTGTCTGTGGATGCAGACCTTGAACTGCTAGTTTATGTTCATTGCATCCTATTTTCACAATGACAGGTAAAAACTTGAAAGCTGAAGAGTGTACACTGATCCAGTGCTGTCTGGTTTGAGATTGCAACCTCTTTCATGTGGTCCAGCGCTATCCCAGAACTCCAGTGCAAGCACTTCAGTATGTTGTTAACAAGTGCATGATAGTGTAGGCGATGTTTCCATTTGGTACAGAGGTTCTTTATACCACTGATCTTCCTAGCTAGATTTGTGAGGCAGAGAACTGCATTTATATCTTTGATGCAAAGGTGTTAGACATATCAATATGAAGTTTTATTATTTAAACCTTCTTTTCAATTAAGTACTCAGGAAATGTGTGTGTGTGTGTGTGTGTGTGTGTGTGTGTGTGTGAGGGGGTGCCCAATATAGAAACGATTGTTTCAGTGAGTTCCTTCTAGCAGCTGTACGTACCAAGCCACTGGCATACAATCCTGATCAATCATCAAATAAATTGTAAAATTTATCAGTAGGTAATCTGGCCCCTTTTCTCTGGGCTAAGGCAGAGTTGTTGCTGTCATTCTTTACGAATTCTTTTGTTTGTTTGTTCCTTCAGAACCTCCGGTGAAGTCCTGTTCAGTGTTTTTTCAGGCATTCTGTTCTAGTATGTCACATGTTCTCTGACAGAGTTTGAACTGAACTGGCCTGAGTCTGTCACAATCTAGGGCTATTATTATCCACAGCCTGTATAAAAAAAATTTCTCTTGCAATTGCCCTTCATGTACTTGAAGACTATTATTTGGCTCCCATCAATGTGCCCTTCTGGAGGCTGTGTAACTCCAGCTTATTTTACTGTTTCCGTGCAGATTGTGTTGTCTAGAACCCTGATCATTCTTGCTCCATCTTCTGGGTTCACTCTAGAATCCAGAAGGATGGTTCTTGAAGTGCAGTGTCTCAAACAGAAAGTCAGCCTGGGGGTTTATTATGGATTTTGTTTTTTATAAATAACTGTTTACTAAACTCTTACTTTAAAAATTTGTTTCCTGAACCTCCAAGCAGTGTTTTAGACAAGTTTCTTCTTGCTCATGGAACAACAATTTTGTTTCCCTTTCCATAGCAAAAAGGCTGGAATCCTATCAAGAGATGGATTCAGAGGATGAAGATTCAGCTGATCATCAGTATGGCTCTTCGATGCATATGTCAAAATGGCAGGGGCACGACTGCAGAGCTGTGAATGAACCTTTGAACAGAAAGTCTTTGTTGTCTGGTAGTCATTCTGCATTAGGAAGGGAAGATGGAGCAGGTGATGCTCCCCCTTCAGGACACATTGCTTTCAGCAGTCCCATTGTAAGTAAAACCTGTAGGTTTTGATACTGAATTTCTGAAGTAACTTATGAAGGAATATCTTTTTACCATTTAAGAAATCCTTTCCCTCTTGATCGAAACCAGAGCCTCCCATGATTGCTTGGCAGCATCTTATTTGCACAGATATTTGTTGGGTCATGAAGGTGTATGCTTTAGTTCTTGCGGCTGTGAGTGCATGATCACTCTGGCTAAAATGACCAACTTCATCTTAAAAAACAGTTTTTAATTTTTTTTAAGAGATTTCTAACATTTTCTGGTTTTAATGGGAAATACCTGGATGAACAATATTTATTGGAAGTTGTAGAGGTAAAAACTCAGCTTCTCTACCTGAAGATGTCTAATTCATCATACTTAATCTCAGTTGAAGTGTCTGTGAACTATGGCTTTACTGTTTACCTGTCTGGGCATGAAGTTTACAATTTTCAGTGGGCTAATAGAAGGCAGTGAAGACACCAGAGTGTTACTCTATTTCATCTGTAACTGATTTAACCTCTAGAGACTAAGATTAAATTTATAACCTAATGGACAGTTTTGTTCATTTCATCAATAGGAAACAGATGTTATACCAGACACACAATTGTTGAAGAAGTTCAGTCAAATTTCTTCTCATTCCTGTGATCAGTCAGAAGCTAACAGCAAGTTATCTCTGGAGACAATGTACATCACTGACTTCTTTCTTGCTCTGGCAATCTGTAATACTGTGGTAGTTTCAGTTCCCAGTCAGCCACGTCAGAAGGTAACAAGGTCTTATTTTTGGCTATCTGGCTATATTCATAAAGAAATTAGCTCCTTCTGGGTTGATTACAAAAGGAAAAAACAATTATCTGACATTTAAAAAATGACCCTTTTCTCTTCTATTGGTTTGTCCTCTTAGAAAGACGGGCATTACTGTAAACCCACAAAGTGCTATCAGTTAATATGTAATATAATGCTGGTAGCATTTTTCAGAAGCAATAAAACTTGGCTTCAGTATTTCTGCTTCTGCGTATAGACAGTTCGTAACTTTTACAAGACAAATTTTGAGATTAAATTGAAGTTGTGTTTTTTTTCTATGTTCTAGTTATGTTTTTCTAGAGATGTGCACAGCTTCCTTTTAGAGTACCCTAACACTCAGGTTACCTTTAGAAATAGGTTATTATTGGCTGAAAGATGAGAATAATCAGAAGACTCCCAGAATATTGAAATTGAGAACGGTCTTACTTGTTCCCTCACTATTCAAATAGAGTTTCAGCAAAAGTATGGAAGGTCAAGTTTCATGTATGTAATAATCTGAAATAAAAATGCTCTGCAGTATGGCATAAAGTGGTCTCATTTTGAGTGTACAGTGCATTTGCTAGACTGTCCTGGTTTAATGGTCTGGGGTGTGTTTAAGTATTCTGAGACCTTTTGTTTTCAGAGCACGCAACCTAACAGTTTTTTAAAGGCATGAATATCTTTTTCAATTTATTTATTTTTTTTTTTTCAGGATGGGATTTTCATAAGCCTATTTTTTAGCAATTTTGGTTTTGTTGCTGCAGGATAATTCCCAAGTTTAGCTTTGATTTTCTTCCCCCCATCCCCTGGTTATTTCCATTCATTGACTTTGATTTTGGTGTCCATCTAGGCAGTGAACATACAACCGTGGCTGGAGATGTTCCCAAAAGGTATCCTGTGGAGTATAAAATACCTCCTATGTATAAGGGAGATTGGTATTTTAGTGTGCTTCCAGGCATTCCCAGAAACAGGCAGCGTAACAGGCAGCCTACAGGCCCATGTGTGGAATGGGCAGCTGTGTTTCATAGTTACTAATCAGTCATTCCTTAAAGATGGTACAGAAAAAATACAGGTGAAGTTCTTGTTTTTTTGAGAATCATATTTCTGGATGACTTGCTAGCAGGGGAGATAATCTCCAGGTACTAGTAGGTAGGTTGGGAGGGGCAATGTGGCATGAAGTTTCTGAGTTCTTGGGAAATGACATTAAAGAGATCAAGGCAGCAGAAGTTTTCAGTATTTCCTTAGGAAGAGGGAATGAAAGGATGTTCATAGTCTCTGTTTCCATGATGCTGGGTGCAGACACGTTACAAATTGTGTGCAGCTGTGGTAGAACTGAAGCCAGAGTCTGTCCTTGCTTTATGCTTTTCAGGGGCAAAGGAGAACATGCTTCCTGATGATAATTCAGTCTTAACTCTTACCCAGTAATGAAATTGTAATAACAAGCTTGTATGCCTTGTTTCTGAGCTGTTAACTGCCTGTTCTGAGAAACAGTAAACCAATTGTTTTGTAACATCGATGAGAAAGGAACTGTCTGTTGTTTTAAATTCAGATATTAAAAAAATATTGATACAAGGTATTGTATTTTTTTTTAGCTAGTTACTGTGGGAGGTATGGAATTGCTTTATTCTTCACAAATATCTTGCTAATTCAGAGCAAGAATGAAAGTGTTTATTTCCATTTGCCACAAGTTTTAAAAGTTATGTTATACTACTGCTTTCATTACTGAAATAGTTCTAAAGAGGAGTCACGAATCAAACTTTGAATGCATACAATTTTCAGATCTGAAGTATTTTATAATTCTTTTGGTTGGAATAATGAAGCTCTTCCAGAACTGTTTAGTGTACTCACATGGTTATATGTTTAATTGAGCTGGCCATCTTCAATACAAACAGTCAAACTCATGGTAAATTTTAAAATAGTACATTCATTAAGAAACATACATAGTTTGTAAGCTATCCTTCTTCAATTTAGTAAAATACAAAGAATTTAACATAAATGCTTTCTCTAACTGTTTGTTCCAGATGAGACTGTCTTGTCTGGGTAGGATGCCTATTAAATCACTTGAGGAAATCCGGCAGATGTTCCAGAGGTTGTCAGTCCGGAGACTAAGTTCTTCCCCGCTTCCAAGTGTGAAGGAGTCATCATCTGAAAGCCCCACTAGTTTTGTGAGCAAACTGTCTGTTTTCAGAATGAAAATGGCTTCACCTGCTTTGGAGGAAGCTGCTCAAAGGGCTGATGAGCTTCATAATATGGATAGCCCAGAAAATTCACAAGTGCCTCAAGAATTAGATATGGTGAATGTAGCTGCTGGCTGTGAATACAACAGTGCTACGTCATCTATTGAATTGTCTCCCTTACTTAAACTTTGTTATGAAGCTGAAAGTCCAGATGAAGCTGCCTTAGTTCATGCTGCTAGGGCTTATAGATGTATTTTACAGTCTAGGACTCCAGGTCAAGTAACTGTGGACTTTGCAGGTCTGGGATCTTTAACGTTTCAGCTTTTGCATATCCTGCCTTTTGATTCAGTGCGGAAAAGGATGTCAGTGGTGGTTCGGCATCCAGTCTCCAAAAAAGTGATGGTGTATACAAAAGGTGCAGACTCAGTCATGATGGATTTATTGAGAACTGCATCTGAAGGTATGTACAGAACTTTTAATTATTCTCTCACCTTTATCGTTCTTCAGTACAGTTGAACAGGTGGCCAGGTTCATGAGAAGAGACAAGTAACCAAGCAGAGCTATTTTCTGTGAATAGTTCCTTATAGGGAACCCAGAAAGGTCTTATTGCTTGTCCCCTAAATATGTTTGTGCTGTGTGCTGGTGTGGAAACTAAGAAGAGAGAAGCAGCTGTTATTCAGATAATTTAGCTGTGTCTAAGCAGACCCTTTCGAGGGGGTCTGAAGTATTTCCAGTTACAAAGTAAGGCCACCTGCTTGAATAGGTGGCATCTGCTGTGCAGCAAGAGGTGTTTATTAGAGTGGAATACTTTGTAGTCTTTGCCAGTGTTAGTGTTTCTGAGCTGTTTGAGAGAGGTATCAGTAGCAGATGTCATCAATCAGTGCTTTTTGAGGTGGGTTTTTTTTTCCTTTGATTACTATTTCTATGTTTCTAGGTGTAATAATAATACCTGCAAAGTGTGTGGTGCCTCCTCACGGGCCCTATTTTTAGGGGTAAACATTTTTTGAATGGGCTACTGCAGGGATGCACCATGTTTAAGCATTAACTGATTTGCTCATACACTAGTGAACAGTCATTGATTTTTAACTGAAGGCAGTAAAAAGAAAACATTATCTGTGTATGTTAGAAGTAAATACCTAAATATACTTAAGTTCATAAGATGTTCCAGGTGTTTGGGGATCTTTTTATGGTTTGGAAATTAGTATAAAGGAATTAATTTTTAAAGGCTTGCTTTTTGCGAAAGGGAGTTTGGTTTGTATGTTCCGTGGCTGGCTGATCTCGGTAAGGAAGACGGGTATTTCCAGTTCCAAGGGTGGATTTTAACTCAGCCAACATTAGCCTTCTGAAGTCTAGACAAAAAGCTGCTGTAGGCCGGGGGGCAGAAATGGTACCTTCAAAATCCATCATCTTACTAGGGGGGTAATTTTATGTCTTGAGGTGCCTTTCCTTACTTAGATTCTCAAGGTAGACTTGGAACCTAACTTCTACATGTCTGAATAGCCCACCCCTTAACAGTTATTTTAAAAAAAGCTTTTCTATGACTGCCCTTTTAGCTCCCTCCCACTATATGTTTTGACATATACTACTAGCATCCAAAGATGTATCAGTACCAGATAGGTTCTCCATCACTGCTGGTGCCAGCTGCTCTCTATAGATAAACCCACAGTACATTGTACAAACATGAAGATACTTTCACAGGTAAAATAAATTCTGGTAATATTTTGGTATTTTAAAAACTTATGTAGACCTTCAACATTTTCTGCTTAATTTATAGAATCATAGAATCATAGAATAGTTAGGGTTGGAAAGGACCTTAAGATCATCTAGTTCCAACCCCCCTGCCATGGGCAGGAACACCTCACGCTAAATCATATCACCCAAGGCCTCGTCCAACCTGGTCTTGAACACTGCCAGGGATGGAGCATTCACAACCTCCCTGGGCAACCCATTCCAGTGCCTCACCACCCTAACAGGAAAGAATTTCCTCCTTATATCCAACCTAAACTTCCCCTGTTTAAGTTTTAACCCGTTACCCCTTGTACTATCACTACAGTCTCTAATGAAGAGTCCCTCTCCAGCATCCCTATAGGCCCCCTTCAGATACTGGAAGGCTGCTATGAGGTCTCCATGCAGCCTTCTCTTCTCCAGGCTGAACAGTCCCAACTTCCTCAGCCTGTCTTCATATGGGAGGTGCTCCAGCCCCCTGATCATCCTCATGGCCCTCCTCTGGACTTGTTCCAACAGTTCCATGTCCTTTTTATGTTGAGGACACCAGAACTGCACACAATACTCCAGGTGAGGTGTCATAAGAGCAGAGTAGAGGGGCAGGATCACCTCCTTCAACCTGCTGGTCACACTCCTTTTGATGCAGCCCAGGATATGGTTGGCTTTCTGGGCTGCAAGCGCACACTGCCGGCCCATGTTCATTTTCTCATCAGCCAGCACCCCCAAGTCCTTCTCCACAGGGCTGCTCTGAATCTCTTCTCTGCCCAACCTGTAGCTGTGCCTGGGATTGCTCCAACCCAGGTGTAGGACCTTGCACTTGGCATGGTTAAACTTCATGAGGTTGGCATCAGCCCACCTCACAAGTGTGTCAAGGTCCCTCTGGATGGCATTCCTTCCCTCCAGCGTATCAACCAAACCACACAGCTTGGTGTCATCAGCAAACTTGCTGAGGGTGCACTCAATCCCACTGTCCATGTCAGCGACGAAGATGTTAAACAAGAGTGGTCCCAACACCGATCCCTGAGGGACACCACTCGTTACTGGTCTCCAGCCGGACATTGAGCCATTGACCACAACTCTGTGTGCGGCCACCCAGCCAGTTCTTTATCCCCCGAGTGGTCCAATCATCAAATTGATTTAGCCTAAGAATGCATATTTAAGTTGCTTTCTCTGCTTTTTGTGTGGTAATAGATAGTAATAATTCAGAAATGGAACAAAAGAAGATTAAAGAGAGAACTCAGAAGCATTTGGATGACTATGCCAGAAGAGGACTACGCACTCTGTGTATCGCTAAGAAGGTAATCCTTTTAATACATATTTTTAGGAATGTCTGTGACCAATCCGAGTGGTCCAGTGGAGCAGACACTGTTTCTAAGCAGATGGTTCCATTGCCACTCTTTGTTTATCCTCATGTTCTATATAGGAGAAATTTGTAAGCTGACCTGAATCAGTTCCTGACTTCTGTTAGCTTGTCATAGTTGTTGTCAGCATAGGATGCCAAGCAGCTTAATATCTTAATTCTAAGACAGGGGTTGTCAAACCCCTGGTTTTAATTCCGGAGTCCTGAGTGAAAGTTGCCACTGGTTGGAATTCTAGACCCAGACAAATTAAGCCAGACCTAGTTTATTTGGTTTCACAAACAGTTTGCGGTGTTATAAGCTCAGGATGCAAAACTTAGGTCTTGTTTTGAGGTTCCATTTTAAATTCAAAGCTGCTCAGATGCAAAATTTGATAGGGATTGAAACAGGTAAGAAACTTCTTTACAAAGCCTTATGGGAAGTGAAAGTACTTGCTGTATAGCTGTAGAGTCATCAATTTGTACACAGCTATACAGTGATTCTGTGGCTCTGTGAAATGCGCAATTAGAGAGCAGTAGGGAGGAGTATACTATGCTCGTTGGCCTGCCTACTTTTCATCTAAATGGAAGTCTGTTGGGCAGCTCCAGGAACCTGCAGGGTGCCAGTGAGTAACCTGGTTTGTAAAGCCTGGCAAAGTAATCTTACGCTATGGACATCATACTAAATCCATGAACATATTGGTGCATTTAAGACAGCAAAGTAACTGTGAGGACACCAAGGTGCCTTTGAAAACACAGTATAGATACATGCTGGATGTTTTCTCTCCCTCTGCAGGCGATGAGTGACGCAGAATATGCAGAGTGGTTAAATCACCATTTTTTAGCAGAAACCAGTATTGACAATAGGGAGGAGCTGCTGCTTGAATCTGCCATCAGGCTTGAGACCAAACTAACTTTGCTCGGTAGGTAGAGATTGCTATAACTCCCAGGAGACTGCTTATGGTATTCATAACTGGCATTTACTTGCTAACCTCAGTTAGCTTTCTGTGGGCCTAGAATTTATTGTCATTCCTGAATTTCCATGAATCTTCCTGGTAACTTTGTACTAGCTGTAAAACACACTGAAGACAGCAAGTGTTCTGTTGTTTGTAAAGGGTGAAGTTTTATTAATTTTTTTTTTATTTGGTTTCTTTTTTTGTGCTTATCAGATTTTTTTAAGTGTCATCATAATAAGCACGAGAAATGATAGTAATAAACCAAAGGCCTGCCTGGGCAAACATACGCAGGGATCCCACTTCTGGGCATGTTTTCCATCACTGTTGCATTTCTGGCTTAGCAAGTATGCTTGTGCTGTGTCCTCTTGTAATAACATGGAGATAAGAAGTCAGGAATGCTTCTTCAGGAGCCATTCCTCTGGTGGTCATTCAGCTGTGCAGAAATGCAGAGGCCAAGACAAAATGAAAAACATTCAGTTCAGATGTGTAAAAGGTAAACTGCAGGCAGTATGAGATAATAGCTCCACAGGAGTGCCCAGCAAATAACATTTGGGAAACAAAATGCAAAGATCTGACTGACTTATTGGGATGGTAAAGGCAGCTCATGCTAGAAGCTGAAGAGAGACAGATTCTGTTGTGTGGAAAGGTGTAACTCCATTCTGTGCTACATCTGCTCAGTGCAGATGCCATAAATGTTTTTAGTATGAAAAGGAAGGGAGAGTTAAGCGTATAGACTGCCCAAGTTGAAATAACAGTTTTCTTTCTTCCCCCAGTGCCTGACAGTGCCTCTCGAAGCAGTTTGCATCAAATAGATCCCAGTTTCTTTTCTGTCACTTTTGTTTACTTGCATCAAAATGCAAGTAGAGTGCAGAGCAAGGACCTGGTGGTTTTTTTTTTTTCTTCCCAGTGACCTCAGGCCATGAGTTCTGTGCAGTGTTGGCAGCTACTTAAAGAAGAAATTGCTAAAGCATCAGAAATTTGGTTGACCTTTTGGTTCTTACCCATCCTCATATGGCAGTGCTTTGTATTCAGATTGCTGGCTACAGGCCCGCACTAGAAACATGCCAGGAGGGAAAATTTTGCTTTGAATTTTTTTATTGTTTGTCTTTCAGAATGAACCTAGCTGCAACTGTCTGAAGTTTCTTTCTGAGAAACTCTCTTAGCCTGAGAATCTCACAAGACAAAGCATGTCTTCTGGTTATGATTTAGTACCATTTGTGTTGTGAAAAAGCGATGAAAATGTCCTGTACAATAGTAAATCACTGGCACTGCAGCTTTTCAGAGTTGGTTCTGGTTTGTGCTCATGTTGTGTTACCCATTTTTACCAGAACAGAAGACTTTGTTAAGCTGGTTTCAGGGACACAGTTTTGCCTGCTGTGCACAGCAGAAAAAAAGGACATCTTTCTTAAAGTGTCTGTATTTTTTTTGTTGAAAGTCTTTCTTTAACCTCTAATGGTTGTGTATTAGAGCAGGTGTTTCCTCCCTGTGGAAGAACATGTCAACGTTGGCAGTGCAGGCAGGAGGAAAGGCAAACATAGAGCTTAGTACTATGAATTGGAAGGACCTATGACAGCGGGTACTGCAGCAATGAGCAGGGAAACCTGATGATGAATGTAAGATCTTTGCAGCAGTGTGCAAAACCATGACATAGGAAGAAGGGATTTTGGTGTGGAAAAAGGTGAGGTCTTGGGACAAGAGGTACACAGAATTCAGCTTGGGGAGCAGAGTTGAGGATAAGGAAGTGGGTCTTGGGATAGGAAGGATTGAGGTGATACATGAAAGAAGTTTTGGGGCAGTCTGAGATGGGAGGGACTGAGAATAATGGAGTATATTTGTCATGAGAATCGTGGGGGTCTGTGTCTCACAGCCATTGGGGAATGTAACAATTGTGAGAACAAGAAAAGTTGGCGTAAAAGGGTCTTCTGAAGAGTTGGAGGTCCCCAAGGCTGTAGCCAGTGTGTGTGTCAACAGCCTCACATGTGATGAGCTCTGGGACAGAAAGATGTGAAAGGGAGACATTCCCAAGCATATCCCAGTAGGGTGTCTTGTTTTGGGATGTGAATACATGCAGAGGACCATCTTGTCCTGTCACTCTTGCAGTACTTTGGTTTTGAAAATACAGTAGCACTAATCTTTGTCGAAATTAAGGTGCCACCGGCATTGAAGATCGCCTGCAGGAGGGTGTTCCGGGCACAATACAAGCCTTACGGAAAGCAGGAATAAAAATATGGATGCTGACAGGTGACAAGAGAGAGACAGCTGTCAGCATTGCCTATGCTTGTAAACTGCTGGAACCAGATGACAGAATCTTCACTCTCAAAGCACAGAATAAGGTGAGTAGAAAATTACACTTTTCTTCATGTTATGTGTTGGTTTGTTTTGTTTTTTCTCCACTGAAAAATTCAGCCAGGCTGTATCACAGGGCAGTACAGAAAAATAATTTCCCAACCAACTGAACACAGCATGATTTCCTGGAAGATGAAAATACTGGAAAACTGGCAGTTTGCTGCCTTGCGGGTAAAATATTGCATCCTTTATATATATGTATCATTGGTTTCTTTGTATACAGTCCATAAATTATGCTTAACTATTTTAATTGAATAAACTGCTTCATTTGTTTTTGTGGGTGGTTAGAGAGTTGACATGACCTCAAGTTGCATCAAGGGAGGTTTAGTTTGGATATTAGGAGAAATTGCTTCACTAGAAGGTTGGTCAAGCATTGGAACAGGCTGCCCAGGGATGTGACTGAGACACCATCCCTGGAGGTATTTAAAAAACATGTAGATACGGTGCTTAGGGATATGGTTTAGTGGTGGACTTGGCAGTGCTGGCTTAATAGTTGGACTCCATGATCTTAAAGGTTTTCTTCCAACCTAAATGATTCTGCTGTTCTCTCTAACTACAGATTTCAGGTGACTGTGACTTACAGCATATTAGCAATGTAAGAGTTATGGTCATATAAATTCTGTTGTATTAAGTTTCATATTTCTTTGTGTAGAATATTCCCTCAGCCCTGCTTGTCTTGCATGAATGTACAAAGAATTGTCCCATGAAACTACATTGTAAATCATTTAAGAAAACTAATCTGCCAACAATTTTATCAGAGAAAAGCTGCCTTCTCCCCACCACCCAGTAATTCAAGTCATTGATAGAGTGCTTAAAACTGCTGCTGTTTTGGGAGGCAAGATTCATCCTGTTTGATTGTTGCGTTCTCTTGTGGATGCGTATAACCAGCAGTTTTTCAAATCTTGTTTTTTATCAATTTGAGGGTTCTTAAGAAAGAAATTACTAACTGTAACTGGTAATCCAAGGAATGAAATGTCCCATCTCAGAGCAGAAACATGAAAACTGAGACTTCTCTAAAGGACTGGCAGCTTCTTCCAAGACCTTTTGTATTTCTTTTCTTCTCTGCTTATATGTTACTTTAGAAATTCAGTTTGTATCTGCCATAAAAGGTAGCATGGCAGGTGGTAACTGTGGGGAAAATAAAGTGAAAAAGAAAGGATTTTTAGTCCAGTTATGTTTGAGAAAAGCTTGGGGTTTGATTTTTGCTAACACTTTTTTCTTCCTTTTTTACTACAGAGACAGAGTGTCTTAACAGTAAGAACTGAGTCCCTTTTGCGGAAGTGCTCATCCTCCCTCTAACTAAGCTTTGAAATAAAAAATACGCAGTATTTGATACTGTTACATTTCAAAGGAAAATAAGAAGATTTAAGAACATGTAATTTCTTCTGTAGCATATAGCATGCAAATTGCATATATTGATGCCAAGAATCTTTTGGCCATCTTATATTGATTGTGATGAAGTAAAAAATTCCACAAGGCCAGTTCTTCAGTAATTCATTGCAGCTCACCTGTAATCTGATTTGAAATGCACTTTTGGCTTTGCATGCCAGACAAAAGAAGTGTAGAGAGCAAAAGTCTTCTATCAAAGCTGTATTTATTTTGCAGAATCCTTAATATCTTTCTTTTTTCTGCTAGTCTTACAAACATTTTCTGATTTGCTTCAGTTTTTTCCCTTCTAGTACAATACCCAATGCAACCTACTTAGCAAAGTTAAATCACAGGCCCTTTTATTAACCACAGACTGCATCCTTTGTGATTTTAAAGAGTTCTTCAACTCATGTCTAAGCCTTTCTGTATTCAAGTGAAATGCTACACAAGGGCAGCATCTGACTTTTTGTCCCTATGTATTTCATAAATTGGAAAGGGAGCCAGAATCCAAACAGTAATTTAATAAGTTGCCTTACTCTTGTCTTTAATTAGGATGCCTGTGCCTTGACGATGAGCAAAATTTTAGAAGGCATCCAGAAGAATACTTCTAAAAAACACCCCGGTCAGAAACTTGGGAATGTCTCTGCAACTCTCTCCACCCAATCTCCAGGGTTCAGTGCAGGCCTTGTTATTGATGGAAGGACTTTGGAGCATGTCCTTCATGACAGCCTACAGAATATTTTCTTGGAACTCACAGAAAAATGTCGGGCTGTAGTCTGCTGCAGAGCCACGCCACTGCAGAAGAGTGTCCTGGTCAGACTGGTGCGAAGTAAGCTAAAGGCAATGACATTAGCTGTAGGTGAGTCCTGTGGTTATTGGTTATCTTCTTTTCTCTGAAAAGTAGAAACCAGTTTCTTCTCTCCCTTTTTCTTTTGTTTTTGTTTATGTCTGTCACAAAATTTACTTTAGAGAGGATAATCCTTTGAATCGTAGTTGTCTCTGGTGTAAGATTATGTTAGTATTCTGAAGTAGCAAATTTAGTCCATAAACATTCTCGTGGTAACCTAAAGCAACAAGAACAGCAGCAATCCTGCACAGTGTTATGTAACATGTGCAGAGGAGTGAATAAAGGGGTCTTTCTTGGCATTCTTCATCACAACCCTCCTGAACAGGAAGGGAGAGAGGGAAGATGACTGGCTGAGTTTTTAAACACCTGTATTTTCTGTTCCAGCATACCAACTGCATTCTAACAAAATCAACAGCTAATATCCATTTGGAAAATATAGCTCATTTCAGTCAAGTCTTCCACTTACTTATCCTGCTTTCTGTAGGGTTTTCCCTAGGCTGCACTTTTGGCCATAACAATGCTTTTCTCCGAACATTCTGGTCTTGTATATTTGTCTTTTCCTGCCACCCCCATGGTTATGCAGTAGCCAGCAAAGCTACCTTCAGGTTGCATTCCAAGTAAGAGAGTTTATAGTTTTTTCTTCTTTTCTCTGTAGGTGATGGTGCCAACGATGTCAGTATGATCCAGGTGGCTGACACTGGTGTGGGAATATTGGGCCAAGAAGGCATGCAGGTAGTATATACAAAGACAGCTGCAAATGTCATCAGATTCCATTTTAAATTGTTTCAGTTTTAAATTGTTTACCCTGGAGGCCCAGTGGCTCCACAGCCCATTACTGAACACGAGCAAGATTTTGCAGCCTGAGCTCACACCCAAGCCTTAGCACTCTTCCAGCAGTGCTAAGAAGCTGAATGCTTCAGGGTTCAGACTCCAAACAACAGAGCTTGCTGAGTATCACCAAAATCCCTATTACTTATGTCCTGCCAGGAAACAAGCAGCCTAAGCATCAGTGATTTCTGTGCAGTTGTGTGGTAATAATAAAGACAGCCACATTCCTGCCTATGTTGTTGGGCTGAGCAGTTTGTATTAGTGTAAACTGTTGTATGGAGGGGCTCAGATCTGAGCGAGGGTAAGACTGTAAGCACTATGTGTAAAATAAAAAAAAAAAGCAAACAACAAAAAACCCAAACGTAAAATACAACTTTCCATCAGCTGCTAAGCTGCTCATTTGGCAGTATCTGAAGCTTATCTTTAACACCGTGGACATGACATATCCTTTCCTTCATGTGCGTTGCAGGCTGTGATGGCAAGTGACTTTGCAGTCTGTCAGTTCAGACACCTCAAGAAGCTGCTGCTTGTCCATGGTCATTGGTGTTATACCAGGCTTACCAACATGGTGCTTTACTTCTTCTACAAGAATGTGGTATGTAGCAGTCACATCCCAGGGCAATCACATTTTGCGTATTTGAGACCACTGAAGGTTTAGTGGGGCTTTATATATTTTTTTTTTTTTTTTTACTGTGAACAGTTTCAAAAAGCACCAAACAATTCATTTTCCGGTTTATGTCTGCAGAGACCAGAGACCCTTATTCCTTGGACTGAATTTCTTACTCAAGTTATCTGATTAAACAGCGGGTAATGGGTGTTAACCAGTGTAGTGGTAGCATGACTATTTAAATAAGTCATGTCCAAGTGTGAAATGTAAAGCTGTGACAAGTTTGAAATGTGTACTAGTCAAATATAATCTTGAAGTGTAGGATTGGCATGAGCTCTACAGCATTTATAATTATTTTTCCACAGATTACTGTGGAAAAGATCTGCATGTTTTCCTCCTGGCTTTTAAAACCCTTGTCTATGGGTAACATTTTGTCATGCCATCTTTGACTTTCCAGGCCTATGTGAACCTCCTGTTCTGGTACCAGTTCTTCTGTGGGTTTTCAGGCACATCAATGACTGACTACTGGATCTTGATTCTTTTCAATCTCCTTTTTACGTCGGTGCCACCTATCATTTATGGTGTCTTGGACAAAGATGTGTCTGCAGAGGTACTTCTCCAACTCCCACAGCTGTACATGACGAGCCAGAAATCTTTGGTAGGTTAAAGAGTGCTTGGTCTGAAGCAGATTGGAGTAGTCAGCATTTGAGCCATTTCTGTCGGTCTTTCCTTCATGGTTCACATCAGGAAAACATGAAGTTTAAAACCACTTTATTAGAAAAAACATCTAGGCTTGTGATAGAAAAAAACAAAAACTGTGATTTCAAAAGTTTTTGTAGGCTCTTTTCAGCCATATGCGCCTAATCTTATCAAATATTTGATGATAAGAGAAATTAAGGACTTCAGGGGAAGCATTGTACTAGATAAACATTGTTACCAGCTTGTTCAATTCGATCACTGTCTCAGCTGTCAACATTCTTCCTCAAAATGCATTTCTTCTGAGCATCTGGGCTTACTTTCCAAGATAAGGTCCCTAGATACAGTTCTTTTCACTGTTGTTTACAGGTCTCAACTGCCACACTGTTGAGGCTGAAGGTGCACAAGAAGTTGGGCAGGGGGACATAGCCGAGGCAGCTGACCCCCACTTGACCACATGGATATCCCATATCGTATCATATGCTGAGCATCATGCTCAGTGTATAAAGCTGGGGGAAGAAGGAAAGGACACACACACACACACACACACACACACGCATTTGAAGTGATGGTCTTTGTCTTCCCAAGTAACTGTTACTCATGATGCAGCCCTGATTTCCTGGCGATGGCTGAACACCTGCCTACCCATGGGAAGTGGTGAATGAATTCCTTGTGTTGCTTTGCTCACTCACATGTGGCCTTTGCTTTCCCTGTTAAAACTGTCTTTCTCTCAACCCAGAAGTTTTCTCACTTTTATTCTTCTGATTCCCTCCTCATCCCACTGTGGGGGGAATGAGGAAGTGGCTGTGTGGGGCTTAGTTGCCAGCTGCAGTTAAACTGCAACAAATGCTTAATTAAAATCGTATTTTTATTATAAAAATTGAAAGCAGTGGCATACTGAGCCTGAGACAGAATAGATAATGGTAACCCAGAGAGAGGAAACACTTGAGTGTATGAGTCATCTAAAACTCACCATTTTCTTTATGATCATAGCTTTTCAGTGACAGACTTGATTAAGAAGCATTTCTTTACAGAGTGGTCAAACACAGAAACATGCTTTCTAGAGAGGTGGTCCATGTCCCAGGCCTGTCAGTGAGGCATATGAACAATGCCCGTAATAACATGCTCTGAATTTGTCAGTCCTGAAGTGGTCAGGCAGTTGTAGGTCTCTTCCAAATGAAATACACTGTGCTGTGCTGTGCTGTTCTATTCTGTTCTAACAAATGCTACTAAAAAAATGAGCTGTGACATGCAGTGTCATCTGCCTAATATAGCAGAAGTCTAGGTCTGGTTTAGAAGGGAGAAAAAGATAAACAGTGAGGAAACAATTTATTCTGTTTGTTTGTGACCTTTACATTTCTTTTTACATATCCTTAAGTACTTTATGTTGCTTGGTTTATGATATTTTTGCTAAACAAAGTTGTCTTTTGGTACAAGTCTGAGTCCCTGCAGAGTGGCTGAGGCATACCTGTGCTTTGTCAATCAAAGAGAGTTTTGACTAAGTAAAGGTTACAAGGCCTCAGATTTGGCCCTTTTTTGTCTTCAGGATATGTACAGTGAGCTGAGCTGAAGGTTTTGCGGTAACATAATCACAATTACTGCATTACAGAAGTTCTTCCCCCCTTTTTTCCCTTAACTTTTATCAGAGTTTTTCTCTTTTGTTCATCATTGCCTTGCTCTGTGGTTGGAGTTGTTAAGTAGTAAATCATATCACTTCTTGCATGGAAGCACAGTGAAATAATTGTTTTTATTAAATGCAGTATAAAAAATCAAGTGCAGTATAGAAGAAATAAATGCTTTAAAAGATGTACTATCACAGTATTGCACCATGATATCACAAGTGCACAGATTCTGTACAAGCTGTAAAAATGGCCAGTAACTTGGAATCATGTTCGATATTTTAAAGCACTTAGCTGACAGGCAAATAAGATAAGGTTCCCACACCACCTCCAGAGAGCAGTTCAGTTCTTGAAAGAGCTGGATTGCTTTTTGGAGAAACACATCCCTGTCCACTAATTGTAGACGAAGCTGGGTGGCTAGGTTGCTCACCTATGTGTCTCAGTCTAGGACCTGAATATATATTTTAGTCAGGGCAGATGCAACTATATGATTTCATAAGCGGTTGAGCTGTCATAGCAGTTTGCTGTCACTACGTGAGGAAGGCTTGTTCCTTCTCCTCCCTTCTTTTCTTTCCATTCCCTGTTTTCACCCACATAGTTAAACTACATTCCTTTTTGCCAGCTTGATTGTCCCATGAGATCTTCCAGGAGCTAATTTAGCTCACTAAAACAGCAGTGTGTTATTACAGCAGAAAAGCAAATTGGTTTCTCATATTCCAGTGAGTTACGTTATCTCAGAGGAGTCCAGTCTGCCCAGGGAAGTCAGCCAGCACAAATTACTGAAGTCAGCCAGCATATGTACTCAAAAAGAAAGGGGTGGAGATAGAAGTAAGTGGGATTTGGTGTTCAGTGATGGTAAGCTGCTAGGGTAATTCACTGCACCCTGTCCTCCCTGCCTTAGTACTCAGGTGAAGGCTCTGGTAGGTCTTTTCTGGCAGAAACAGCTGTAAGAACAGTTAGCTGCTTGTGTGGAGTGAGATCTTTATTCTTATTACCATAACACAGAAGATTCCTCTTCATTGAGAAACTATCTGGAATTGCTTCTGAAGATAATCTTTCCTCAGATCCAAATTAATGCTAATTAATGATGCAGCAATTTGTTCAATTTGTTTATCTGCATTTATCTGTTTTTCTTACAGGCTTACTTGCCTTCAACATTCTGGATAACCTTGCTGGATGCTTTTTACCAAAGTATTGTTTGCTTTTTTGTGCCTTATTTTGTAAGTGTTGGATATGAGACACATTTATACATTTTGATATACTAAAACCCCAAATTAGAGAACAAAATTTTTTAATTTTACTTCTTAATATATAAATGTGCACTAACGGGACATAATTGGAACTGAGCTGAACTGCTGATGGAGGGGAGATCCCTGGAAGCGTTCAAGGCCAGGTTGGACAGCCTGGTCTTTGGCAACCTGGTCTACTGGAAGGTGCCCTGCCTATGGCAAGGGAGTTGGAACTAGATGATCCTTAAGGCCTCTTCCAACCCAAACCATTCTATGATTGTGTGGTATTGAAAGTATTCTTGCCACTTTTAAGTATTAGGACTATATGTAAAGAATGTATTATGCTGACCATTGGCTTCCTTTACAGACGTACTATGGCTCAGACATAGATATTTTCTCTTTTGGAAACCCTATAAACACAGCAGCACTCTTCATAATACTGTTTCACCTTCTCATTGAATGCAGATCTGTGGTGAGTACTTTGTTTCCAGGAGAGTATATTCCTAACAGAGAATGTGCATACAGCTTTCATTAAAACTAACAGAAGAAAAAGCTTCATATACAAAACAGAGTAACTATAAAAGTGCCAAAACCTAAACCAAACATTTCATATATGTGACCATGCAAGTGTTCCTAATGCATCTGCCATTGGAGCCAATAGAATTACAGATATTACTAAAGTTAACAAAATTTGGCCTCAGAATTATTTGTAAATAGTGAAAGGATTCTGCCTTGTTAGGATACATTGGTTTTGAAAGTGTCAGTTTTGCAGATAGTAAAACCAGCCAGCGATCGGTCTGCTGAGCCTTCATTAGTTCCCAAAGCTTGCAGCTCAGTGTGAACTGTTGATACTGAACGCTTGGAACTGATGATCTGCTTTGTGGCCAGGATAAACAAGTCAAAGGTGTGTTTTGGTACCAGAACTAGAGAACCAGTACACTACAGAAATGCTATTCCAGTTTTTAGTAAAGTCTGTGCAAGCTAAATCATGTGCTTTAGCTTGGCTAAATTTACAGCCCTGAAAAGGGTAATACTTGGCTTTCTTGCATAATTTTAAAGAAAATAAATACAATAATATTTACAGTCCATTAATATTTAGGATATAGAGTAATGGGGTTTATTTTTTCTTTGTCTTTTTTAATATATATATATTTTAGGATTGTTTCACAATGGATAACATTTCAAGTTGGGATTCAGTCTTTCCTTTGTTCTGTTTGGGAGCATGGAAGCAGTGATAAAATGCCTTTATTGAGACTATATGGGTAGCATGAGTGTATCCACACTCAGAATAGAAAACCGGTACTTAAATGAGTTTTATTTGATATTTCAGAATGTTGGCAAGCTGTCAGACCGATGACAGTGTTGGTTCCATAGGAACTATTATAGCAGTTTAGGTATAAAATTACAGAAAACTCAAATGTATAACTAATCAGTGTCTCAAGCAAGATACAGAAGAATGATGTCATGTAAAGATCTCACCTCCATTTGCTGGAGAAGGCTTTCTTTGCTGCCAGTGGATGAGGTGGTCATCTCAGGCAAATGGCACAAAAAAATGTCTTTCCCAAAAGTATCAAAAGCTATGTGTGTAGTAGAATAAAAAAAAAACCTAAATGGCTGGGTCACCGATATGCTGTAGGAAGAAGGCTCCATTCTTCCTGGAATGTTATGAATAAAATGGGAATATTACGTGAATTGATCTATCCTCTGCTACATTAAGCAGCTATCCTTGGAGGAAGAATGTATGCTTGTTCATGTATGCATGTGTACACACTAACACATGTTACAGGTCTTTCCATTTGCAGCTTAAATCTGATTTCTTTCCTTTTCTGAATTGCAGACTTGGATACATACAGTAGTTGTAGTTGGCAGCATACTGTTTTACTTTGTCTTCACTCTGGCCTTTGGGGCAACCTACAAAACTCACAATCCATCATCAAATCCTTATTGGATTATGGAACAGCACATGACAGACCCAGTATTTTACTTAGTTTGCCTCCTGACTACTTGTGTTGCTCTGCTACCAAGGTGCGTTTCTGTTTTATAATGCTAGATTGCTATTGTTAGCAAAATTAGTTTTCCTTGAGTCAGTGATGCTATAAATCCCTCTGGCTAGAGGTCTTCCTCTCCACCCTCAATATAAAGAAAATTTCACAACTTGACCAAGCCATATGAGGATAGCTCTTTAGTGCCATGTTCTGAAATTAAATTTCAGTAAATACATCATTTTGTCATTTATATTAGATTATTTATATTATATTGCAGATTGTGTTTCGAGATAACAAACCCAGTAGTCTCTAACCACAGACTTATAGAATCATAGAATGGTTCAGGTTGGAAAGGACCTTAAGATCACCAAGTTCCAGCACATCTGCCCTGGGCAGGGACACCTCACCCCAGACCATGTTGCCAAGGCTCTGTCCAACCTGGCCTTGAACACTGCCAGGGATGGAGCGTTCACAACTTCTTTGGGCAACCCATTCCAGTGCCTCACCACCCTCACAGTAAAGAACTTCTTCCTTATATCCAACCTGAACTCCCCTATTTAAGTTTAAACCCATTACCCCTTGTCCTGTCACTACAGTCCGTAAATGTATCATTTATATGGTTTATAATTTCTATTCAAATCAGTTAAATTAGTGATCAAAGTTGACCATGTACTATACATAGAAGTACTGTGTTGTGTCTAACTAACTTAAGCTTTTCTACTTGAGTGATTTAAAGTAGAAGTATGGAACCACTGCTCTCACACATACATCTTTTTCCTTTGTAAGGGTATCTCTCCCCCCTTGGTGAGAACTGTGACACTACTGGGTGCTCTACACTTTCTGGACTGGGGAAGGGAGATTGCGGCTTTCACTGGAGTTTAAACATCATTTCTCCTACAAAGGGACAGATGTTAGACGCCCTGTTGACTGAAAATACAGTGCAAAAATCTATGGTTATTAAAACCTTTGCCCAACCTAAGTTGCCAATTAAGTCAGTTCTAATATGAAATATTCCTAGAGTTTAATTCTGTAACATCATTGGTACTCCATATTTCTCTTACTGCATGTGATGCTTTGTTTCTTAGGCTTTCACCGCCTTGTTCATTCTTGCTTCTGGTGAATTCTCTGGCTCCTGCAAAAATTAAAAATTTTGGAATGATGCTTTACTTACTCTTCCCAGGGCTATTGGTGCTATGTTGGAAGCATGAATTTGGTGCCTTTACTCCTGGGCCTGACACTAATATGCAGAAAGTTCCACTTCCAGTGTAGTTGGGACCCCAGCCATTCACTGAAGCTGCAAGTGCACAGTGCTGCAGTAACATCTGTAGGAGAACAGCATTCAGGACAGAAAAGTGGAAGCCCCTGAGATCAGTATGTGTCTATAAAAATGCCACTTTTCAAACGTGTTCTGGTGCTGTTGCTGGCCTGATACTTGATGTTCACAAAACAGCACCTGCTAAAACTTTTAGAGGCTGCTGCAGCCTCATGGTTGCTTGAATGGTGTTTGGTTTTCTTTAGTGTTGCTGGAAACTGTTTTGAGTGTGCTTCTGAACAGTTTATTTGAAACTGTGTTTATTTTGTAGATATTTGCTAAGAGTTCTCCAAGGAACATTGTTTCCATCTCCGGTCTTGAGAGCCAGGCACCTTGACAGTCTAACCCCAGAGGAGCAAAGGGAAGCAATTAAGAGATGGAGAGATGACTCTGTTGTAAACTGTAGAGTGGAGCTCCATGCTACTTCTGGGTCTTCTAGCTCAGTCACAAGTGCTGTGTCAGAAGAAGAAAGCATTGCCAATGTTTTGCCAACGTCTAAAACACTGTTATAGGCCTGTTCAAGAGATGGGTTAGTAGAGGACACCTCCTTCTCACCAGACATTCAGGATGAGTCTGGGAACACAAATGGCTTGAACTCTGAGAAGATGGAATTCCTGAATTCATCAAAGAAAACTAATTTAGACTTATTCGGTGGTAATAACTCATGTGCCAAAGTCTCTGTGTGTGATTCTGAAGGGGGCAGCAGTGCTGTTGCTGCAGCATAAATCAGGTTTGAATTCTTTTGTGTGAAGAAGATGCTTCAGTGTATGTTACAAAGTTGGAATGTTAACTATTTTAAAACCCAAGAGTAATAACTGCTGATTTATGCTACATTGTGGTTTTTTCTTCAGCCAAAGGAGATGATGCACACACTTCCTTAAAAGCTTTTTTGTTTATAAAGATTTTCTGTAATTTATTTTGATGTTCAAGATCTAAGTGGCTGGGTTGCTTTTTATATTTTTCAGTCAATAGACTTTGCATACTGCTTATTTCTTGTATGCAAGATTGCACAATACCTCATGGTGTTCTGGACAGGATGTTGAATAAATACGGATTTGCAGGTAGGCCAATCTGCTGCCTTGCATTGCTAGCCTATAATCCTAGCATTCCCTGGGACTCACCGCTTTATGGATGTATGATGTAAGCAGAAGGGCTGCCATGCCAGGGGGGTTGGAACTAGATGATCTTAAGGTGCTTTCCAACTCTAACTACTCTATTATTCTATGATGTAGAGTTACTGGTTGGCTTGTTGAAAGACTCCTGCAATATAGTAATTTTATAGCAATTACTGAAATACAGTAATTGTTTTAACCACTGGGGTCCAGTTTGTCCCCCAGGCTATTGCACAGGCCATCTCAGTGCTGGCCAGACATGATTTTAACCATCAAAAGGGCAGCCCAGATGAGGCATATGTGTCATGCACCTCCCTCACTTTCCTCTTCCACAAAAAAAACCAAATCCTAGTGAGGCCTTTTGTTCTCTCTGACAGTTCATGCTCCTGCTGTATGCCTCCTTTTATCTCCATTGTGCTGTTTTCATGCAGTCTGCCACTCACTGGACTTCTTTTCTGCCTCATCCAGCTCAGATGCTGGTTGCCTGAGTTTTCTCTAAACTCTACCTCATGCGTACACTGTAAAATTGTCTGCCAGCAGCAGTGGGTAGCTCCAGTCTGCCTTCACGTCTTTAGAAATAGCAGCTTCTACCTGATGACATTACCCTCTTCACTCTCAGGTGATTTTACATTTAGGTGCTTTTATAATGCACAGCTGAAGTATCTTTACAGGCTGTTAGGAAGAAGGTATAACCCATTACATGTCCCAGATTTGAGCTCTGTTGTTCATCTCTCTTGCAGATGTCCTGCCCCTACCAATTCCCACTGCTCTGCACACTGCACAAGAGCTGGCTGAAGTGCATGTGGGGTCTGGGTTCCAGACCAACATATTGCCTCCTTATTACTCCTTCCCCAAAAAGTTACATGGCCAGTTTATGGAGGAACTTAGGAAACTGTTTGGATCTACTAGCACCTGTTGAAATAAACAGTTTCTTCTAACTATAGCTGCTAATGAATTCTTAGTATTGAGCCCATTTTTTGGTTCTGTTTCATTCTAAAGCTTTCTGCTTTCAAACTGCCAAGATTTGTGTGTTCAGGCACCGTGTTTGGGGCAAGGGCACTGCTTTTTAATTGAACCATGAGCTTTCCATGTCAATGATCAACATTACATATTCCACATCTTTTAAGATCTTGGAAAGAATTTAAACAAACGCTGTGAGGTCTGAGACATCTGCTGCTATGCAGGGCAGATACTGGAGGCATGCTAAGTTCATTCAAATGAAGGTCACCACATGTTACCAAAAGTTGAAAATGATTCTGTTTTCAAAAGGTAGAGTGTAATTAGGGCTGACTGTATCCCTAGTGTTAGTGAACAGAAAAATACCCTTTTGTTTAGCCTATAGAAGGAAAACAGTGAAAGGAGCCAGTGATGACAGCCATTTCTACAAATACATAGATATATTTTTTTTTTAATTTGGTTCAACATACGACAAAATATTTTCTGTAACATGTAGCAGAAGGTTAGTGGGGACCTTTGAAGTGATGGCAGGCATTCAAATTCTAAGATCATGTGGAGCTTGTTGGTTTGCCGTTACGATTTTCAGATGTTTGTCTGTAGCCTCCTTCTTGCTGTGGGGGCACTGTGCCAGGAGTGGGCTCCAGGTGTACCAAGTAAAACATCTTGGCTTGCTCTGCAAGCTATGGGGACTTGTGAGGTGTCCAAGAGGAAGATGCAAAATGGTCAGCAGGTTGCGCAGGGAGACGGTACAAGGGCAGAATCACACACAAACAGACTCAGTGAAGTCATCTGCTCTGCTCCACAGCCCCACACAGGCTCAGCTTTGCCCTTATTGTTCCCAGCAGATGTTCTCCTGTTGTAAAGAGCTCCAGAGAAGCAGGCCAGGCCAGTGCTCTCCTGCCCTCAAAGTCAAATACTGGTTTTGTTTCTGTTGCCTCACCTGCGTGTTTTTTTGTGCCTTAAATCTATGGGCTTTCTTCACCTGTGGCCACAGAGAACAGGTTATTCTATTCTGTGGTTTTACAAGTCTATGACTGAGGCATGCTGAGCTCTCAAGGAGTAGCTCAAGGACTTGCAGTGAGCTGAGGGACCACAGGGCTCCACTTCTCCATCTGCCACTGTAAAAAGGAGTGTGGGGACAACACTGGCCTGTGACTGCCTCTGCTGCAGGAGCAGAACCTGCCAGTGGATTTGGCAGGTATCTGATCGTTTAGCCTCAGGAGGTTGCATGTGTGTCACACAAAAGCTGTAAGCATTGCAAGTACCATCTTCCAGAATCTTCTGTGAGTGTAAGCCATGGCATTGAAATACCTGCCCAAGAAATGTGACAGTCACCTGTTGGATATGGGGCTGACTGACTGCATGATGCCTCTGGGACACTTGAATTGCTATTCTGTGGCTTCTACAAGCCTAATCACCCCCTGCTCACTGCTTGGTGTTGTGGAGCTTCTGCAATGGGTTCTGGAATTGGATGAAAGATCATTCCATCTGTATGTTGAGCATGCCAGACCCTGCAGGTTACCTTGAAACTTCAAATCCAACCTGTGCTGAGGTTATAAGTGAGTACTGTGGTACCACTTGAAGTGGTCCAAGATAACATGCACACATTCTATTTTTCCTGGTTATGTTGTTTCACTGATGGTGTGTGTTGCTTAAACTTGTCTACTATAGGCTGTGTTTCTTTAGAGGACTTTGACAAACAGTCTAAGTACTGACATTATCTGTTGTGTAAAACCCAGTCTTTTTTTCCTTTTTTGTTTCTGTGTGGACAAACAGCAGAAATCTCTAACACAGAGTCTCTGCCGTGATCTCTTGCTGTTTTTCACTGAAAGGGAGATGAGGGTTGCGAGTCTTCAGTGAAAGCTTCACAATGTTAACTGACCATATCCAGAGGGCCAAGTGAAGAGTGAAGGCAGATCACTCTCCCTTTGCTTCTCAGCAGCTGAATGTTGTTTCCTTTATTTCTTTTTAGCACTGGAGACATGAGGCTCCCCTGCTGGCTTCTGCACTTTGGCACAGCATGACCTGACTTTTCCATTTTGAAAACAGGCTTTTTAAGATCATCTCACAGGTGCCTTCCAGATGTGAAAGAAAGTACAGCATTTACACTTTTGTCAGCTTAAAATAAACCAATCATGTTCAGCTCTGCCAAACCTTGTAGCTACACCTGGAGCAGCTTTAACTAATTTTTTGATGTGCAGTATTTGATTTACAGAATGATTTTTTTTCTTTTTTTCACAGCAGCCACGCCATTTGCAGGTGGCAGGAAGCCACCACCTTTATAGAGCAAGTGTCTTTGCAGCACAGTGAGCTTTGGTCTGTACCTGGGGCATAGACAGAGCTGAATGTTTGACCCAAGCTGTGTCTTTCCCCTCAGCCCCAAGGGCCAAGCATGGGGCTGAGGACCAGCCAGTGTGGACCAGCTACTCCTCCTGCTGGACCTGGCGCTGACACTGGCCAGCCCAGCCCTCCTTTCTGTAGAGGCCGGCGGCCAAGTTCTGAATGTGATGGTGTTAAGAATGTTCTCATAGCTGAATTTCAGTATGGGTTTTGTATTGTTTGTTCCTGGCTGATTCTGGTTATGTTACTCTTACCCTCCTGGTCCTGGATGCCTTACTGTTGACTGCAGTGAAAAGGCAAATTTTAACTATTATTTTAAGTTTCTGCATGGTTAGTATTTTGATTTCAGCACATGCCCTTAAAATGCTGGATCCCAGTTAAAATGAGATGGTTATTTCAAACTAATTGTATTCCTGAGGAAAGCCATAGAACAAAATGTGTTCAGAGAAATTTGACTGCATTTTCAGTTTTATTTTAGATTTCTCAATCCAGAGTAGTTGTTGGCAGCAGTATTATTGATAATGCTCTGTATTAGAAGCACACATGCAGATGAAACTAGAAGTTGTATAGTGGTGGTAGTGCCAGAATCTCCACAAGTCTTGTAGTGCCAATGGGGCTGTCAGAGCTGCTTAAAAAAGCTAGATAAGGGCATGCAAATAACTTTTAAAGACTATTTTTAGGCACTCTTGCTAAAGTTGTAACTTCACACCTCCATATGAGTGTTGAGTCTCTCTCTTGAGATTGAAACACACTTTCAACAGAGAAGGTTTTTGGAAAATTACTGTAAATTTTTATTAGTACAGCTAGAAAAAAAAACACATTTGCTTGACTGTGACATTGCATGTTAGAAGTAAAGCCAACAACTGTTACCTTACGCTGAGGCTACACTTAAAAGAGGAACAGCATAGTTGTGATGATAGCCGTCAAGTCAGCACACAGGTACAGGGGAAGGAGGGCTATGTTTGCCTATTTCGTGTGCACACATAAAAAAAGCAGTATAAAAATACATTTATAAAATTACAAATTTCTTCTTTACATGGAATGTTATGTCAGAGATGGTTGTGGGGAAGGACAAGACCCAACTGCTCCATCCTGAAGCCATTTGCGATGAGTCTTCAGACTGATCCCTTACCAGGAGGGGGCTAGACCATAGGTGGAAGCAATCTCATTTCCTGGGAGGGACTGCTTGGAAAGTGGTGGCAGGCCAAACCCAGTCAATAAAAATGTGTAATTACATATTATCGTTTGGTAGCACTTATGTCTACGTGAAACGATGAGATGGATTCAGCGATTTGCTTCACAGAATTCAAAGCTGCTAACTATGTCAGCTGGCGGAGAGCTGAGGGCTGGGCTGTCCATTTCACAGAAGCATGTCTTTGTTTTCTGCAAAACAGACCTTGCTGAAACCTGTCACCAGACACAGCAGACGGACAGATAGACAGGCTGGCTCTGACAGCCTCTGGGCAACCTCTCCTGGTATCTCTCAGTAACTGGCTCTGGGACGTTGATCTGTGCTGCCCTACAGCTGCAGAGGTCCTGCCCCAGAGAAAAGCTAAAGTGGGGAGGGAGAGCTCCAGCTTCCATGTCCTTGAGGAAAGGGTGTCAATAACCTGTTTCATCTGTAATCTACTTGCATTGGAAAAACATGGTCATACCTTCCTTCTCTCATTTACAGCTGGGGAAAAAGATCATTTATAGTAAAACAAAATCCTTAATGTATCATAAAAAAGACCCAGACCTAGCAAAGCCTGGAAGGGTTTTCTTTCTGCGCATGAACCAGTGATACAATAGTCACTTAAAAAGAGGTTCAGAATCCATAGCATAGTTATTGAATATTAATGTTGTCTAGTCTGTCTAATGTTAAACATGTTAAAGGAGAAGATAGTTCTATATATTAGTTGTAACATGATTAATAGTACCTGAAATGTCTGTTACTGAGCTTTTTTAATGTGTGTTTCCACATACGGCAGTCATGGTATTGATAAGTTCCCATCATGTTTTCGTGGGGGTGTACCAGAGGTGGCAGAGAGAGTGGTTACATGCCTTAATCAGGATTCACAGCAGGCTGGGCACAGCACTAAACACACAGATTTTAAACATGTTAGTCCTGGTGGAATTTACCCTGTAATTCTGGGTCCTGACTCCTCCTGCTCTGGTTTCTCAAAAGCTGAGCGCTGTGCAGGACAGCACCTGCAGCAGATGGTAAGACACACTTCCCCACTAGGCACCATGAAGAGGCGCCAAGCTCCGTTTAAACATTTTTGAACCAGACTCTCTCGGAGTCAAGGCCCAGCCTCTTAACTACCACAGAGTGCTCCACTATCTGGCTGCCAAGCATGTGAGCTGCTGTACTTTGCTTAGTGTCTAATACTCATTTGACTAGAAGCTGCAATCCAAGTCTTCTGTCATTCAGATTTTTCTGCCCTTCCAGTTATTTAGTCTTGCTAAGCAAAATGAAACTTTCAATGCAAGATACTATAAGAGACCTATCAAAAAATACCCAGTTTCCCAGTACTTGGGGTACTGGTCACACTGCATCTTTTGCTGTACTGAAAGCTGCATTTCCAATATTGCACCAGGTGTTCAAACTAGCTTACTGTGGGAGGGAAAACCATTGCAGTGGCATTGACAACTCTGTTATGTTTTTAGAAGGCTGGAGATGGTCAATGCATACTTTATATGCTGAACACATGCTACAAAATGAAGGAAAAACAAGTGGGGCACAGATCTGACAAAGGTGTCATGCTGTCAAGACATGAGTGGTTCTTGGACATATCAAGACATTGGGAAGCGTCAGAAAATGAAGTGATAGAAACTGTCCAAAGAGTCTCAAGAGCTGAGCTGTGGTCTCAGGTGCCTCAAGTGGTAGTTACAGGTCTGTTGTACTCGTCCGTCTGTCTCCCTGCAGACGCCCAGGCTGGCTCTGTGAACAGAAGATGGTGCAGGGACAGAATGCTTTAACTCAGACACACCAGGAACACATGGCTGCACATCTGTGGAGACTGGTAAGTGTACCTTGATGTGTCTGTGCCACATGGATGCACAAACTTGTCGACCTCTTCCACACCCTCCAGCATGTGGCATGGCCATGCCCAGTGTGGCCCTTGTGAATAAGTGTCCCATCTGAATGCACAGAGTTCATTTGTCATGACAAGTGAGTGAAAATGCATATGCTACTTGAATAGTATTAAAATAGGTTATTTAAAAAGGTTTTTCTAGTCTGTGCTACTGCTTAGTTTGAATAGCTGAAAGGCAGAAAGTGGCTGATTCTTTTAAGCCTTTTGCTGTGTTTGGAATAGCACCACAACACAGTTAAAAGAGAAGTCAAAAGGATTATTAATTTTACCCCAGAGTATATTCACCAGCAGAGGGTTTACCATTAACATACACTGTGTATTCCATACCTCCACAACAAGAATAGATAGAGCTTGAAACTCTATTTCATGAGTTTCTGGACTGCAAAATCTTCACTGTTGAAGTGCTGATTCCTGTTTTTCTTTTGTCTGTCAGCACAATTCTTACCATCTGAAGTTAGTTTAGCAGAAAGGTGTGGATGTATATTTGTCTTTCAATCCACTCAATAAAATGTGACACATTACTGTAAACTCCAGGTCCCAAAACTTTGGAAAAGCAGACAGAGCCCCAGGATGTTAAACCAAACAAAGTCCAGCGCCCTGCAGGTTGCTCACACACAAGTGGTCCTCCACTGTCACCCTGCAACGTGAAAGAAAAATAAAGTCTACAGAGGCTATACGTGGCCAGCAGTCATGGTTAAAGCTCTCTTGGTTCCCACAGCAATTTGCCTTTAGTAAGTACCTCAGCTGAAAAAAACTGGCTGCTCTGCTGGACGGTCTTGGGCAATACTGTCTAGTGAGGCATCCCTGCCCATGGCAGGGGAGTTGGAACTAGGTGATCTTAAGGTCCTTTCCAATCCTAACTGTTCTATGATTCTATGATTTTATGTGATACCAGTATTTATTCCCTGTTCTATTTATACAAAAAATTACCTGCAGAGGGCTCATTAAAATAACAAAAGAAATTAAAATTAAAAATTAATATAATAGTTAAGGAATACAGATAAACCTTCAAGAGTCATCAAGCAGCATTTCATTATCATAAACTGAAGCTGACTACTGCATCAATGATAATGAAAGTTGGGTTAAAATCTGTAAATAGGCAGTTGTGATTCCTGTAGTAGCTAAAGTATGCTATACCTAGTAAACATCACAGTACTTTGATTTCTAAAAGCAATTTTTTGGCTGTTAGTTTCTCCTACCATGCAAGAGTCCACGGTGCCAGACTCGTAGCCAGCACACAGCATCCTGCTGGTGATGGTTTTCATGTCGAAGTATGACTGGCATTGTTCTAAGGAAATGATGCGAACCTCTCCTTCTTGAAGCTTGAAAGGCACTGGAAAACAGAATTAAGCATTAAACTATACCCACATAAACACACAGATACTTAGTTACAATGGCTCTTTGAGATAGCTGAGTTATGTTTGTGTAAATTTGACTTAGTACATCAGGGAATCGGAATTCAAAGGTCATTGATGTGATTTTAGTGC